GGTTTTTTTCGGCTAAAAACGCCTTCCTATACTATGTCGTTTTTTTCGTGCCAAAAACACCTTTGTCTACATGGTCGTTTTTGTTCGGCTAAAAACGCCTTACTATACATGGTCGTTTTTTTCGGCTAAAAACGCCTGAATATACATGGTCGTTTTTTTTCGGCTTAAAATTTCAGCTAAAAATGCCTTACTATACATGGTCGTTTTTTTCGGCTAAAAACGCCTGAATATACATGGTCGTTTTTTTTCGGCTTAAAATTTCAGCTAAAAATGCCTTACTATACATGGTCGTTTTTTTCGGCTAAAAACGCCTGAATATACATGGTCGTTTTTTTTCGGCTTAAAATTTCAGCTAAAAATGCCTTACTATACATGGTCGTTTTTTTCGCTAAAAACGCCTTAGAACCCAACCTTGCATAAATGGTTGTTAAAAAAAAGCTTGACATGGAAACCCCCCCCGCCCCCTCCAGAGGAAGTCCGAGACCTGTGTTCGAAACCTGCACCTATACACTGTTCCTTCGACGCACGAACCAGTCGACCTGGACCGAAGGCCAGCGTGTATACCTCAACACTACCAGTTACTGTGACTTGCTCTCCACTGTTGGCGTATTTGACATGCAGTCTGGAGGGTTTGCAGGAAAAAGTAACCAAGTGTTTGGTGTTGTATTTTCACACATCGCTGAGCGGGGTTTGAACCAGGGTTGACTCGACCGAACACCAGCATGTGTACCTCCACACGGCCAGTGACTGTGATTTGCTCTGCACAAAAGGCGTATTTTACATGCACTATGGAGGGTTTGCAGGAAAAAGTAACTTCATGTTTGGTGTTGTATTTTCACATATCACTGAGCGGGGTTTGAACCGGGGTTGCCTGGACCGCACACCAGCATGTATACCTCTACACCACCAGTGACTGTGATTTGCTCTGCACTATAGGCGTAATTGACATGCACTATGGAGGGTTTGCAGGAAAAAGTAACTTCATGTTTGGTGTTGTATTTTAACACATCACTGAGCGGGGTTTGAACCGGGGTTGCCTGGACCGCACACCAGCATGTATACCTCTACACCCCCAGTGACTGTGATTTGCTCTGCACTATAGGCGTATTTGACATGCACTATGGAGGTTTTGCAGGAAAAAGTAACTTCGTTTGGTGTTGTATTTTTACACGTCACTGAGCAGGGTTTGAACCCCCGTTGACTGGACAGAAAGCTGGCGCGTGTACCTGTACACTACGATACATGGTTGGTTTTTTGTGGTCAAAACGCCTTACTATACATGGTCGTTTTTTTGGGCCAAAAACGCCTTACTGTACATGGTCGTGTTTTTGGGCTAAAAACGCCTTACTATACATGGTGGTTTTTTTTCAAAAACGCCTGACTATACATGGTCGCTGTTTTCGGCTAAAAACGCCTTACAATACATGGTCGTTTTTTTCGGCTAAAAGTTTCGGCTAAAAACGCCTTACTCTACATGGTCGTTTTATTCAGATAAAAACGCCTTACTGTACGTGGTTGTTTTTCTCGGCTAAAAACGCCTTACTATACATGGTCGTTTCTTTCGATTAAAAAAATCGCCTTCCTATAAATGGTTGCTTTTTTCAGCTAAAAACGCCTTACTACACATGGTCGTTTTTTTCGGCTAAAAATTTCTGCTAAAATGCCTTTGTTTACATGGTTGTTTTTTTCGGCTAAAAACACCTTACTCTACATGGTCGTTTTTTTCGGCTAAAAACGCCTTCCTATACATTGTCATTTTTCTCGATTAAAAAAATCGCCATTCTATACATGGTCGTTTTTTTCCGATTCAAAAAATCGCCTTACTATACATGGTCGTTTTTTTTCAGCTGAAAAAGCCTTCCGATACGTGGTCGTTTTTTTCGGCTAAAAACGCCATACTATACATGGTCGTTGTTTTCAGCTCAAAAGCCTTACTATACATGGTCGTTTTTTTTCAGCTGAAAAAGCCTTCCGATACGTGGTCGTTTTTTTTCGGCTCAAAATTTCTGCTAAAAATGCCTTACTGTACATGGTTGTTTTTTTCGGCTAAAAACGCCTTACCATCCATGGTTGTTTTTTTTCGGCTAAAAATTTCAGCTAAAAACGCCTTACTATACATGGTCGTTTTTTTTCGGCTAAAAACACCTTACTCGACATGGTCGTTTTTTTTTCCGCTAAAAACGCCTTACTATATGTACATGGTCGTTTTTTTCGGCTAAAATTTTCGGCTGAAAACGCCTTACTCTACATGGTCGTTTCTTTCGATTAAAAAAATCGCCTTCCTATACATGGTTGCTTTTTTCAGCTAAAAACGCCTGACTATACATGGTCATTTCTTTCGATTAAAAAAATCGCCTTACTATACATGGTTGTTTTTTTCGGCTAAAAATGCCTTACTCTACATGGTCGTTTCTTTCGATTAAAAAAATCGCCTTCCTATACATGGTTGCTTTTTTCAGCTAAAAACGCCTGACTATACATGGTTCTTTTTTTCAGCTAAAAACATCTTACTATACATGGTCGGTTTTTTTCGGCTAAAAACGCCTTCCTATACATGGTTGTCTATAAAACGTCTTCCTGTACAGTGTCGGGGTTTTTTGGTTAAAAATGCCTGACTATAAATGGTCGTTTTTTCGGGTAAAAACGCCTTTCTACACATGGTCTCGTTTTTTGGGGTTAAAAACGCTTTCCTTCACATGGTCGTTTTTTGGGGTTAAATACGCCTTCCTATACATCACAGGTGTCATACTCAAGGCCCGGGATCCAGATCAGGAACGCCATATCATTTTATGTGGCCCACGAAAGCAAATCAAAGATGTCGACTTTCATGATGCATGCTAAAATCACTACCAAAATTTCAAATTCTCATTATAAATAAATAAGAGTGATACTATAAGCATTTGCGTGTTACCAAACCCCTCATTACAGTAATTTAAATAATAGGTGAATAAACCATTATTCTTGACTTCTTTTTAAGGTTTCAGTCAGAACAGCCCTCCAAGGGAAACTGTAACTAAAATCTGGCTCGCGACAAAAATGAGTTTGACACCCCTGCTATACGTGGTCATTTTTTGGGATTAAAAACGCCTTCCTATACATGGTCGTTTTTTGGGGTTACAAACGCCTTCCCCTACATAGTGTTTTTTTTTTGTGATTAAAAACGCCTTGCTATACATGGTCGTTTTTTCAGGCTAAAAACACATACTATAGATCAGTGGTTCTTAACCTTGTTAGAGGTACTAAACCCAACCAGTTCATATGCACATTCACCGAACCCTTCATTACTGAAAAATCAAAATATGTTTTGTTTTGTTTTTACAAATTCGAGACATAAAAAACGCATTCATTAAAAACAGAAAAAAGTAAATAAAATTTCAAGACATAAGAATACGTTTTTTTTAATTGTCTACAAAATGAACCAGCCAGTGATGGCCAAGCAGGCGTGTCATAACTAATTGACCTCTGCCTTACCCTCAATGGCAGACGCTCTGTCGAACCCCTGAGACCGATTCACTGAACCCGCCTTACCCTCAATGGCGGACGCTCTGTCGGAACCCCTGAGACCGATTCACTGAACCCCTCGGGTTCGATCGAACCCAGGTTAAGAAGCACTGATCTACGTGTCTATTATTTTACACTTCTGTATTATTTAATAAAATACAGAGGTGTTGTTTCATGTACAAGTAAATAAAAAAATACCTTGATGATATTAATTGAACAATAAGTTTCATTTTAGCTTTCCCTTTTGTAGATTGAGACTGCTTCCCAATGCCATCCACTTGATCATAATATTGTGTTCCGTCATTCAGCGCCAATGTCTTTATTCAATTGTATACGCACATGAATTTGCTGTGATTCTGTTTTGCCAGTAGGGGGAACTGCTTCACGCAGCTGATCTGCATATTTGGTCATTCATATTAATCCCAGTCTGGTGATTTTTCTGGATTTGTGACTAACATTAAGATTAGCATGTTGAAGAATACATCGTCTCATCACAAAGCAAAGCAACTTCGGCTTTCTCCAGATCACATACAGGCAATGACTTAACTCCTGCATTTCTGTAGTTTAGAGATAGATAACGCGTTACTTGACAAATTTTGCATACATTGCTGCTCTATTTGTGCAAGGCCATCAAAGTTTACCTTTCTTTCAATTTAACATTCCACAATTCCATTTAATTTTTTTTTGTAACTGAGCAGCCATGGCCAAAGTGGCTAAAAATGCCGCCTGTCACCCTGGGCCCTGTGGTTCCTTCGAGCAATGAACCGATATCCATGTTCTCGGTGACGGGTTGAACGTGAAGTGACTCGTTGATTTGACATATTCAGTGGAATATGTTGTATTGCCGCACCTGAGCCTGTTTCCCTTTTTTCTCCCCTACTTCAGGCTCCGACACCCTTATCGAAATGAGGATGTCGCCATGGCGTTTTTCAGCCACAACCAAAACTAAGGGCAGCACAAATGTTGCCTTGAAGGCAATCGATTCCTGCAAGCACGTTGTGAATCAGCCAATCAGCGTTTACTCTGTTGTTTACGTCACACAATAAGGTATAGCTACTCAGCCAATCCAAGTACAGCTCACTGTCTTCCCCATACCAGCTGCTGATTGGACTTGTGCATTGAAATAGAATGACTAGAATGGTAAATTTCATGGAAGGAAAAAAACAAAGGTAAGCACTGTTAAGACGGAAAATCAGGTTTTTTCCAATGAACGGACTCTGCTGTGATTCAAAAGCGTCAAGTAGCCAATTTTATGTATCAATTCAGGTACTTTTATGCAAATTCCGTTTTCTACACCTTTCTAGTTATTCTATATGTCCATGAATTTGCTGTGATTCTATTGTACCAGCAGGGGAAATCGCTTTCACACAGGAGAGGTAGCTGATTGTCACATTTGCGTCATATTGATTCCAGTTTGTGTTGATCTTCAGGTAAACTTGAACATGTTACTCATGCCTGTAAACTCTGAGGTGCTATCTACTCCAATCGTATTCATTGTCAGAACAGTTTAAAAAAAAAAAAAAAAAATTCTACCAGCCTGGAAGTATACACCACATTGGCCTTGTGAACTGTGAGAAGTTGTAATTGGAGTGTAAAACTATGCGGATACGCTTTTGTTGAACTAAAAAAAAAAATGAAACAAACGACAAAAAAAAAAAAAAAGATTTCTCTAAGATACGGGTTTGTTAGAGAACTAATATGGCTTCGTAGTTGGGGATCAAACGGTCAATTTAGTCTGTGATACACCTTAAAGCAAATGTGGTGTGGATTTTATATTTCTTTCGTTTGCTATGGGAACATAAGCCCAGTTTTATACCTCTTTGTGTTGCTTGGTTCTTGATTTGTTTGTTTGTTTTCTAGATTTAATGAACGTAAATAACTGTACATTGTGAATGACTATGGGATAAAAAACGGAGTGCATCGATGAAGTACAGCAGGGGGTGGATCACCAATTTTTTTTTTTTTTTCTTTCGGAGTGACCAGAACACTCTGTGAGACAAGAAGGCCACCCATTACAGTACAAAACTTATTTGATGATTCTCTTATGTATAAATCCACTAATTATACCAGCACATCTCACTAGCGGCGTCAAAAGAACAAAGGGAAACATTCTTGTCTCGTCATAAGTTCTTCAAGTGGCATTGTGCACATACAAATTGCTGAAGGTTGTTTTCTCTAAACTGGAATGTGAGAAAGGCCTGTTGTATAACATCTGAGTTCAAATATGATTCATCCCCATGCTGTTATTCCTCTATGCACACCATATCATGTACATAGTATATCTGTTTTCTAGTTCACTTGAAATAGTTCTCGTTTGGAATCAAATTTTTGCAAATGGTCAAATTTGTCATCCTGGGTCTCTTGTTTTTGGTGCTGTTGGGGGGGAAAAAACTGTCTTGAACTATCCTGATTCACTCTCGTTTTAATTACTGCACTGGGAATTTCTTCCTACTTTTATACCTCTTTTTGTTGACAGGTTTGTTTTTGTTTTTTTTGTGGGGGGGTTGCAGAGAAAATTGTAAATTGTGACATTATTTATACTGTATATGCTACATATTTATTGCATATCAAATGGTACTCATTCATGGGGCGACAAGGTATTTTCAAGATATGGAACGGTGGAGACGTGGATAGGGGAAGTGCACTGAGGGGTCAGTGTAATCCCCTTGGTGCTAGACCCCTCTTTGCCTCTGCGCCCCTTCAACTGTCACGTCACGATGTTGAATAAGCAGCGATACAACTCAAGCCAACCTGCTGGTGCTTAGGAACATTTCAACACAGTTTACTGTAACTAAAATCAAATCTTTGTACTGTATTTAACTCATAAATGATTTTTTTCCTTTTTTTAATTAACTGTGTGAATTTCATAATCTCGTGTGGCTATATTGGTGATTTTATGAGCATTAGTAGCTGTAGTTGTAACTCTTGACACTTTTTGCAGAGACTTATAGGGATGTGGCTTTTAACGGCCAAGGTTTTGTTTTCTGTACGTGTGTGTGTCTTGTCCTCATCCTGGGTTATTATTTGACAGATGTAATGTTTTATTTTCTCTCTCTCATGATGTTCAATTTCTGCTGCACTTCAAATAGGACATGTAGAAGAAAAACCTGAGCCAGACCTGTCTTAAACCCCCTCTGTGATATTTCTGTGACATATTGTATTGTATTGTTCAAGACAATAATAATGTTTTGATAAATTATTCAACAATGCAGTCAATGTATGAGTTATATTTGCTTACGATACGATACACTGAAGAAAAACGTATACATCTGTCATACCTCGGTTTTTCGATCATAATCCGTTCCACGGGGCTGTTCGAAAAGCGATTTGTTCGAAATCCGAAACTATTTTATTAGCCCATGATTAGGGGCTAATACACTATGCAATAAAAACAAAAAGCAGTCAGATTTGCGTAAATCACAACAAACACGCCTGCTCACAATGAACGTAGTGTCCTTGTGTAAGGAAGCCGAGAGGAGTCAAATGACTTATTCGGGTTTGCTCAATTTGTTCGTAAACCGGTTTTCGGTTGTAATCTGGGACGTAAAAATCCCGAATTTTCTGGTCGAAATCTGATCTGGTCGATTACAGAGTCGTTCAAAAATGGAGGTTTGACTGTACATAAGTACAGTAACCTATACCGGCATCACCCGTCGCGACACACACGAACCATGAACGATATGCTTTCCTTTACGGGTATGACTTCATATGCCATCACCACAAACGCACACTCAATACCCTGTCATCTATTGTTAACTTATTTTTTTTCTTTCTATTTTTAACATTTACGTCCATCCTGGGGCTTGAAGAAAACAAAATGGCTTAAACTCCACATCTGGACTGGCTGCGGATGCAGCAAGGGATATCCTGGTTCCAAGGACAGGAAAAATGGTTTTTCCTCTAACAAGCCTCCCCTTGCACAGCCTTAACAGAGAGGCACTGACACATCACATGCACACACAAACAACTCAATCACTAATAATAGCAAAAGCATAGAAAATGTTCCAATTTTTTTTGTGGGGTTTTTTGTTTTTAAACCAACATTGCCTCAGGGTGTCTGTTTACACTTTTTCAAGCTGTTAAAAAGTCCCCATCTTCTCCCCAAAGTAAACACTGTACAGTATGTAGTGTATCAGCCCTGTGAACATCTAAATAAATAAACGATAACGCCTGAAAATTAGGCTTGTTATCATCATACCCATTCACGTCTTTGAACTGAGCCCCCAGTGGCTTCTTATCGGGCCCGAAGTGGCCTTTTTCTCCACCAAATTAGTCGAGCTCTACCCCGGAGCTCATTTCCGTACCCGCAGATCTGTTTTTCATCAAAGGGGTCAACGGTCACCCGCTTTGCCATTCCTGCTGCTGGGAAACGGACCGACTCTTCATGCCCTTTTTGTTTTACACCTCAGGCTTCTGTGGGAAGTTTTTTTGAGAGCGGATCACACCTTCTAAAAGCTCGGCTTCGACAACAACCGTTATAAAAGACGTTCAGCTGCAATTCATCACAAAAAAAAAAACAACAACAAAGGTGAAAAAAGTGCCAAATGATGTGCGTGTGGGGTAGCACACCCTGACTCCTCTAATCTATCCAAATAAACACTTCTCCCTCCCCCTGGATTCACATCTGGGCTCTGGTGTTATCACACAGAAAGCCTCCAGTGCCCAGACACCAGCCCACTAGGCTTCTCGTGCTCAGGATACGCGTGCGCACGCACGCACGCACGCACACACGCACTCAATCATATCTCAAGCTGGAGTCAGACTGAGGAAACAGAATGCCAGGGAAGGAAGCGTTGAAGTCAGGGGGAAAGCAGATTTCTCCTCAAGTCGACACAGCACCTTTTCTCTGAGAGGGCAGAGGATCTTCAGAGTTGCGACACCCAAGAAGATTAAGTAGTTGCTACTTCACAAAACGGAAACAAAAGTACCATTTTAGATTCAGTTCATTCGACGCCTTTCCGAGGATATCATCAACCACTGGAACGGGAATTCCACAGAAGACATTCATCAGGAGGAAATTCTTGAAATTCTCTTCATCCCTGACTTTGCACCTCTCCAACTTTAGGTCCCTTCAGTTTCTGTGGTATCAAAGTGCCGGAGAACACATCAACGGGTTCGATTCCACGGTGAGTAGAATTGAACAGGAGATAACAGTTTTGAACTAAACCTTGAAACCGACCGAAATGATTTTTTGATGATGATGTTTTTTGTGGAAAAGGTTTCAAGTCTAGAAAATAAAAGTATGTTGCACATGAATCATTTTGTTGATAAAAATGAAAGTGAAGTAAAAGTAAAAAGCCTCACGTTCCCATTGCATCCCAAGCGTTCACATTCAGACACACGGTAATGTATTTCCCAGCTGCTCGTTCAATGAGACAATAAAATACAAGCTGTGTAAAAAAAAAAAACCCAAACAAAAAACAAAAAGGAGTCATCAACCGCAAGAACATTGTTCTGACTGATTAGTGATTACAGGAATTTTTCGGCTTCTGCTTGGACTCATTGTTCTCGGTTATCCTGCAGCAGTTTGGAGGTGGGGTTGGCAGAGCCCATTTCCTTGCACTTCATTTTAGCGCTGCGGTGACTTTTCACTCCATCTATACCCCCGATTTTCACCATACAAAGTCACCTCATCGAGAGAAAACACCGCACTTTAAATTGATTGGAATTGAAAGGAAGTAAAAAGCACGTCGTGGATCACGCATGAAATAATGGACGTGGTAATAAAGCCTTTCGCTTCTGAATTGGATCAAGCTAATACGATATTGCATTTGACATATTAATTTGACATCATAAAGTTGGTACATCGGTTTTTCTTTGGAGCTCAAATATATTTGCGGGACATTACAGCTGCTGTCATCCAAATCTTTTTTAAAAAAATCACCATTTTGTGGCTCTGCAGAAAAATAAAAAGGCTTCATTCTCAACCTGTTCATTGCAAGCCGAGAGGCCCCAGTTGTAAATTATTCAAATTTCAACTAGTGCCCAAGCTTTAGTACACTTCCCGACGAAATTCAACGTCTCTTCTTTACTCTGCTGCTGTTCTCCACCAGAAACATGAGTCTGTCACGAAACGGCACATTGGAGAAGACATCGGAGCCGCCCCACTCTGAACCCAGCTCCCCCTCAAGAGGGGCCGGGGCGGTGGTGCCCCCACCGTACTCCACGGGAGGGAGCGATGGCCCCGACCCCCCACTGGAGTTGAGGGGCTCTCTGGATTGCTGGGCCTGCTCCGTCCTGGTCACGGCTCAGAATCTGATCATCGCGGCAATAAACGGCTTGTTGGCCGGCATCGTGTTTGGCACCATCCTCACCCCAGCGCTCGTCATGATTATATTTGGCTTCCTCTGCCACTCTACGGTGAGTCTGTTGGTCTCATAAAGCAGTGGTCCTCAACTTTTGTCGAGCCAAGGCACATCATTTCTACATGACAAAAAAAAAAAAAAATCATAACACACCACCAAACAAAAATGTCACAAACAGCAGATACCCACGGGTACAAAGATACATTATTTGTAGTCAATATTTGACACTCGATTTGTCATGGCACACTGGTTAGGAATCACTGTGAGAGACCACATCAGCCTCCTGCATGTTAAATGCTTAGCAACATGCAGTATATTTTTCTCAGTGACTTGATACTGTTTTTTTAAGTTTTCCTGGGACTTTCTGGAGATTAGGTTTGGATCGTTTGCAGCCGTGACTCAGAGCTTTGCTTACATTGCGCTGTGCAGTATTAAATTGAATCACCACTCCACCAGATATTTTCTTGGGTACAGTTCACCTGGAAAATATCATTGGAGCCGGTACAAGAACTGTATAATGAATTAATTCAAGTATAGTGATCGATTTCATTTTATGTCCACCAATACTGTGTTGGAAATGCATCGCAGACACAAATACAATGGTGGATTTTTTTTATTTATTTAAAAAAAATTTGTTTTTCGGAGATTGGCAAATAAAAAGCCCTCACTGGTTAATAATAACATAACAACATGTGAAAGGATACCATAGCTTCCATGCAGCTTGCTCTGGATCGTATTCGGTCAGTGATTCTTAACCACTGTACAGCAGCACATTAATGTGTCATACGAGATCAAATTCCGTCAATTTTACGAAATTGCTCCTTAAAATGTTACTTATTTACAACAAATAATGTATATTTGTCCAACAAGCCATGTCAGCGACGTACAGTCTAGTCGCTAGACTCTTGTGACTTATTACAGAACAGTTCAATACTCCTCCACTAGATGGCAGAAGGGGGAATTGACCCATTAATGTAAAATATGTGCTTTGGCTAGGTCAAGGTTTGGAGACAGACAATGTGCAGTGTTCTCCAGCTAATCACGGAATATAGGGCCTCCCTCGAGCTGTGGGCATGCCCAAATAGGTTTATAATTGCTGATAGATGTCACAGGATATCAACAAAAACGGCTTTTGTCTTCATGAAACTCAACAATTCATTTTAACATACTGTAGTTCCTCCGGACCATGATGCCACGAGATGGCAGAAGAGCACAAATTTTGCTTGGATGAATCTCTTACATTAACTTCAACATAGTTCCTTGCCACCATGATGCCACAAAATGACCCTAACGTAATACGTTCATTGCTTTATCACAAAAACAGAAAATGCCATCCTACTAATCTGCAGGCGTTCACTTCATTAAGTGATACAAGTGTCCCTAATTAAGTGTCCAATGAGAGTATTGATTATGTGGAGCCTTTTCTTGGGCTTGTAGGTTTAGTCGGCTGATGCCTCATGACAAAGCCAATTATCAAGAAAGTTTTATGAAATATGTGTGCTTGCCAGTTTCTGTGTGTTCAGGATCCATTTGCAGCGTTTCAAAACTAATCATGTTGAACAAGTTGTTCAAATGTGTTTGCAATATGGAGGAAGGGTAGTTTAATACAATACAATACATGTTATTTGTATATATTCAAGTCGTGGACTTTAACGACAAATGTTTTTTTTTAATTTTGGTGTCTCTCTATGTGGCGGCTTTCACCCATCACTGGTCGGTCGGAAATATAAATATATTAGTAATAACTTGAAAGTTTGTAAATGACAACGGTCAAGCGTTACGGTTTGAAATGAGTGCCATATAAAAAGTAAGAACTCATGAAAAATGAAATCTAAAGCAGCGCTTGTGCATTTGATTGCTTTAGGTGCAGCCGCATGGTACCTCAGTGTACTGTTCAGACCTGCTGGACGATGCGGGCTGTGTTGCGCTGCTGGTCGTCGGCTTTCTCCTGCTCACGCCTCTGCTGGTCCTAGCCCTGGCTGCATTCGGGATGGTTAGTCACACCCCTATGGTGAAGAGGCCCATTGATTTCTAAATTCCCTATCGTTGGGTCTTGATTAGGCCTATTGTTTGGGCTAGGGCTGAATAGCTACTTTCAGTTGGCCTGATCAGCATGTCTATGTCCCTTGGTGGTCAACAAGTTATTTTTTGTTTTTTACCCACAGGTACAGATGACGACTGACAGAACCCTTTCTACAGTGTTTCAAAGCTAATCGTGTTGAACAAGTTGTTCAAATGTGTTTGCAATATGGAGGAAGGGTAGTTTAATACAATACTATACATGTTATTTTTATATCTTCAAACCGTGGACTTTAACGACAAATGTTTTTTTTTAATTTTGGTGTCTCTATGTGGCGGCTTTCACCCATCACTGGTCGGTCGGAAATATAAATATATTGGTAATAACTTGAAAGTTTGTAAATGACAACGGTCAAGCGTTACGGTTTGAAATGAGTGCCCTCTAAAAAGTAAGAACTCATGAAAAATGGAATCTAAAGCAGCGCTTGTGCATTTGATTGCTTTAGGTGCAGCCGCATGGTACCTCAGTGTACTGTTCAGACCTGCTGGACGATGCGGGCTGTGTTGCGCTGCTGGTCGTCGGCTTTCTCCTGCTCACGCCTCTGCTGGTCCTAGCCCTGGCTGCATTCTGTCGCCTGGCTCGCCACCTCCAACTGGGCATGTGCTTCATTCCTTACAGCAGGGCCGTGTACAAGAACCTACCACCCGCTCGCAGCAGGGATGCCGGAGTGGCCGGCTGCTGTGGAATGCCCGAAGCTTCGGAGACGGAGGGGAAGGGCAGCGTTTGGGTGTGATGAGAAGTGACCTCTGAGACCGAGGTTTGATTTTTTATTTTTTTTTTTAATGTAGGCTATCCCTGCTTAATGAAGTGGGTCATCGTTTTTTTAATCGGTTGTAACACTCGATCCACTACAGTTCGTCATTGCAAATGGATGATTAGCTAAAAGATTTGTATACTATTTCTGTATTTTATAAGCTATTTTTTCCAATAAAACCTTACTCTGATGTCCAGACTTATATTGAATTGACAGTGTATAAAAAGTGGAGAAAAGATGTATTCTACTGTTGTAATAGACTATGAGTAGAAAACGAAATTGCATATACCCTATGTTCAAGCGGCGTCAAATGACAACATTGTTTGCAAAAATGCGCATGTCCAACATGCTAACGGTGGACATATTTTCATTGAAATTGAATTTGACAAGAAATTGGCATGTTGACACCATACATGATGTATTCATCACAAATCATTCTTGTTGCCAATAACACTTCTCCTAAATAAGGCCATGGAGGGGAATATCTTGCTTCCCTGAAACTGTTGCCTATAACACGTCATGGTTCACATTCCTCCATGTCATTGCTAGCCCACTGCCTTTTTATTTTTTTTTGGCCTTTCCAGGTCGCCAACTTTGGTTTTTTTTTTTACTTTTTTTTTCATGTCATCCATGGAGGTTTAAAAACTTAACAAGCCTACTTTTGACGCAGTAAGCTGTAAAATATAGATACTGGTTTTCATATAAGAAGTTCAAGCAAAAAGTCAAAAGGGAATACACAATACAAGTAAATATAACCTTAAAATTCTACTTCGGCACTGTTACAAAGTACGGAATTACTTCTTACGGCTGACTATTTATTTCTTTAACATTGTGACTGTAGCTTGCACTGGTGTCCAACTCCACTGAACCATCATTCACTTTTTTACTAAAACTGGAACATCTCGCCCATTGATTGTTGGAAATTGAAACGGTAAGTTATGACGCAAAATCTGTTTGTTTTTTTTACTTTTACGGCCACTAGATGTGCTCCTAAAACTTGACGTGTGTCGTCCCCAGACTCCTCATGGTGGGGTAAAAAAAAAAAAAAATGCTTTAGCCAGAATGACTGACAAAAGGAATGACAAAAGTGATATAATAATCCTTCATTCATATATAAATTACAGACAATGTTTCAGGATTTGTGTTTCTTCACTGGGGTTATAAATTTACTGTTATGTTTTACTGAGATATTATTATCTCATGTAGATTTGTCTTTTGCATTATACAAGGACTTATTGAGTCATCGTGTTCGGGACAGATGTTTCGAGTTAGCATGGCTGGTTGTTGATGTTTGTCAATAATTTGTGATGTGGGGCTTTGTACGGAGCTGTGAACGCGCCGGGTTGCAGGCTGCCGCGGCCATCTTCATCCACTTGACCCATGATGATGTAGTTAGCGCCTGCGGTGAAAAAAAACAATAAGGACCAGATGATTTTATGAGTGTGGGGGGAGTGCACAAAATATATAACGGATATACGGTATGTGTCTGCGTGTACCTCTGCGAAGCAATGGGCACTTCCTGCATTGTGACACCAATCGAACGGACATGGTCTCTCCGACTTGCGTGATACTTAGCCGCCCTGCCTTGTAAGTCCGAATGAGGGATACCCCGATGAGAAGGGTGCCCCGGGGCCCAGGGGCCAGAGAGGTCACCTTCCCGGTGATCACTACAAACAAAGTGGGCGTGGTTAGAAGGCAGCGTTTCACCTCCAGCAGGTATGAAAGCACAATGGCCGATATGGATTCAGTTACAGTCAAGATCCATGCACTACTGCGCTCTTTGTCCTCACTAGTAAGGTTATTCAGCACACTATTTTTTTCCCCACCTCTGCCTTTTATTACTCAATGATATTTTTAAATACTAGTGCCACTCTTGGCCAACTGGTATGCAGTTACAGTACTGGTAAACCACTGTGCTGCACTAGTAACACTCCTAGGCCAAACTAGTAGGCACATGACACAAGCTAATAGCCTCCGTTTGAGCATTTATTTGATATCCAGGTTAACATCCGTGAACTGGTACACTCTTTGAGCCCAGACAACTCTGAAAATAACTCTGGCATACTAGTACATACTAGGTCAGATACATGTTACTAGTGAGGCAAAACTGTGCACTAGATGAGAGCTGCACTGTACTAGTGTTACTGGTGAAGTGCTGTATGTTAACTAGTAGAATTTTACAATGTAATTTATTGAATTGAATCATTCGTTAAATATTTTTTTGTAAAACTGTCAATCAAATAAAATATCAAAGTACAAAAATTGCACTGGTCAACAGCCAATGTTAATCAGAGACGGTTATACGTCCCTAAATGAGTTTTTTAAAGATGATTTCCAAAATGCTAGAGTAATTTTACATAGTTCTACAGTACATTTAACGTTTTTGAACTGGCAAATGAATTCTAACCAATTTTTCAGATGGGATACATTGTTCTATTACTTATATCCATAAATATTTTGCATACACATTTTTACATATTTTCTTCTTTTTAACCTTGTTTATACGTCCCTAAATGAGTTTTTTTTAAAGATGATTTCCAAAATGCCAGAGTAATTTTACATAGTTCTACAGTACATTTAACGTTTTTGAACTGGCAAATGAATTATAACCAAATTTTCAGATGGGATACATTGTTATATTACTCATACGCATAAATATTTTACATACACATTTTTACATATTTTCTTCTTTTTAACCTGATTTACCCATGACCTTGGCCATTGGTCTGATTTAAAAATCCAACGTGACCCTTGAACACAAACATTTGCTCACTTCTGGTTTAACGGGTCGACTTACCAAATTCACTGGCACAGAACATGGGCTTGATGGTTCCGTCTCTTTTACACACTTTGGCACACAGTGGATTCTGAGCGACTAGAAAAAAAAATAAATAGATAAAATACAGTACACTATAATATGTCCACAAGTGCATTCCAAAATAGCACAACCCGTCGCTTCACTCACCAGGTCGCCCTCCATTTGGTCTCGAGTCAACCGTTCCCCTGTCCTGGCCCGTGGTACCGGTACCACGTCCATTCGTGGGCCTGACAGGTTTGGGTTTCTTAGTTGGTTCCGGTGCAGCAGGGGGCACATATTTGATCGTGGGGGCAGGTGGCGGCGCTGCGGTCATCGGGACTACACGTACGGCGGGTTTGACAGCAGGCTTCGCTGGAATGGACCTGGTACCGGCACCGGCGCTGTGCACTACAGCTGCGTCAGAACCACGGGGGATGCTTGTGTAAGTGGCCAGGAATCCATCGGATGTCACACTGAGGTCAGACACGAACTGGACCAGGAGCACGTTGCCGCTTGTAGTGATGGGCCTGCGTAGAAAAAGAGCATGACCGGGAATCTGGGAGTGGTTAAGTAAACGCTGAACTTTGGAATGGGTTCTGTTATTCTTACTGTGGGGCTTGATCGCCACAATATTTTCCTATCAGGCGTGAGTCATCTTTCTCTCCACCATTAAAGAAGGCCACATAGTCGAAGCGGCAATAGGTATCCGCCTCCAAATTAAACTTGCCAAATTTAACGTGGATTACCTAGTATCCAAACAGAAGCGATTACAACCCAAACGCAGACATTTGAAAATGGACTCATGCAGGTTAGGTCGCCAAACCTTATCGGGTTCCACAGTAATGAGCCAAGAGCAGCTAGTTCCCGGTGGATATCTCTTGTTGGGCCAGTTTGGCGTCATGATCTCTCCCTGAGATTTTGTTGTCTTTCCCCCACAGAACTGCTCATCTAAAACAATCCACAAAACCATGAAGTAAGATAACAGTAGAATGCAGATCAAGATGCGATCAAAATCTTCACTTTTCTTCTACTTCCAATATGGACTGAAATTAGAAAACGCGCATATTCTATCCCGGCCAGTCCGGTGATCCAGTTGTTAGCGCGTTGACCTCACAGTGCAGAGGTCATGAGTCCGATCCCGGCTCCGGCCTTCCTGTGTGGAGTTTGCATGTTCTCCCCGGGCCTGCGTGGGTTTTCTCCGGGTACTCCGGTTTCCTCCCACATTCCAAAAACATGCACGGCAGGCTATTTGTGTGTCCTTATGACGGTTTATTCAGCTCGCAAAAGATGAAAAGCGTGTCAAAAGCCACTGCAAGCACACACTTTTTAGCAGTTTGTCTCAAATGGGGCCGACAAATCTTGACAAATTACTGCAAAAATACACAACAAAAACTATAATGCTGATAAGATACTAATTTTAACCATCTTATGGAATGTGGAGAAAAGAAAGAATCCTTCGGTGTTACTAAAAAAAAAAAAAAAAAAAAAAAAAGCCGATTTAAAATCTTGGACATCACCAAATTCACCAAAAGTATGGATATTTACATGTAGTTACTGCCACAGCATCTGTTTTCCCCAAAACATGCCAACTCAGTTGCTGAGCATTGCGACACCATGCTGAAACCATCCATTGACACCGTCAGAGATGAATGAATGTCACATTGTAATTACAATGGTTGTCGTTTGCTGTGGTCGGAGAACTGAACTGTTTAATCCTGATGCCACTTATTATGGATATTTGGACTGTAAAATAATACAATCTCCTGCCTAAGGCGTTGCGTTTTTCCCTTTAGTTAAATTATTTATCTCGGTCTCATGTCTTGTATCACAAAACCTTGCCATTTAAACAGGGGTGTGTAGACTTTTATATTAATTGTGTGCATCGATAAAACCAGCAGCAGGAACAAGAGGACCACTTCCACTGTCAAATGAGCTCCAGTACAAGAATTGGGTTCATGTTTGTATTGACAGATCAAAAAACAGACAGTTTTGATTGACACTGTTAACCAGTATCATGGTTGCGCTTTGCAGTGGCGTAGCACTGCACCCCAAAGAGGGGTGTGTTTTGACATTCTACTGTTTTGACCTTCTCATACCATCCATCCATCCATTTTCCGATCAGCTTTATCCTCATAAGGGTGGCGGGGGTGCTGGAGCCTTTCCCAGCCGTCTTCAGGCAGTAGGCAGGTAACCTATTGCCAATTGCCAATCGCAGGGCACACAGTGACGAACAACCATCCGCACTCACAATCACACCTAGGGACAATTTAGAGTGTTCAATCAGCCTGCCGTGCATGTTTTTGGAATGTGGGAGGAAACCGGGGTACCCGGAGAAAACCCACGCAGGCCCGGGGAGAATATGCAAACTCGACACAGGAGCCGGGGATCGAACCCACGACCTCTGCACCATGAGGTCGACGTGCTAACCACCGGTCCGCCCCATTCTCATACCATACAAAGCACGTTGGTGGCATTGGATCACTACATTGTGCAGAAGTGCCGACATTACAGATTGTTGCAGCGGAGACAGGATTCCTTATTACTTCGCTTACTAACCCTTTAATAATGACAACCCGATAAGCTGTCCGCTGTAGTAACCGCTGTCCCTGAAAGGGTTCATTAATAACGTTCATCTGTTCTGAAAAAACGAGGACCTACCCTCAGCATACGGCGTGGCACCACTGAAGTAGGCCACAAACCCTCGACCGTGGGTCTCCTCATCGGTCACCATGTCCAACATCATCGTATTGGTGGTGGAAATAAGAGCACCGGGCCGGAAGGTGCCACAGAACCGGCCCAGTTTTTGCACCGTGTTGGATTTGCCGTTGTAAACATCCAGGTAGTCGTAGCGACATTGCGAGTCGGCCTCCAGGTCGAAAATCCGGAAGGAGAGCATGACCACTTTATCTTCCGGGACCTGGCAGCCAGAGAAAGATCCATAGGGTCAGATGATAAATGTGAAGCAGTAGGGTGGTGTTTTGACTTGTTGCAGGGTGACTCACTGTGATGATCCAGGTGCATTTGCTGTTTGGTTTGTAATGATCCGGGAAGCCCTCACTGCCGACAAATCCCGACTCTGCCACAAGAGATCCTCCACAGTGGAAGACCGGCCTGTGATAAAGGCCATGAGAAGATACGACAGCATTAACAAGCTTTGGCAAGGAGACAAGAATTGCATGAATGCATAAACTCAGCCTGCCAGTTTTACAATATTTACAGAAACTTCCATTGGGAGTCTCAAACTGTGATCCTCCTTCGCCAAATGCTGAAGTTTGGAATTCAAAATAAAATTAAAAAAAAGAAAAAAAGGACTACTCTGTAAAGCCTTTCACTTGAAATTCTAATGCCTTCCAAGAATTATAATTAGAAAGATACAAATGGAACAAATCCATTCAACTAATCATTTTCAGTTGACTCTTTCAACCCCATCGTTATTGTGCAATAAACATCTTAAAGAGCTCTGCGGGTGTCATAGATAATTACGCAGAAAGGAGCAGTTCTTTTATACACGTACAGATTTGCAAGAGCAGTCAGCAAGGGTATGTTTCTTATTCGGTTACTTAGAGGTTAATGCCAGAGTTATTTTTTTTGTTTTGTTTTGTGGCCAGATATTAGACAAACAAATTCAGAAAATACACAAGAAAGTCATGTTCGCTGTTGTACAGTCCATGAAAAAGTTTACACTCAAACTTTTGTTTGAGATAACCAGGATCCTGATGCAAAAGGTTGCATTCCTTCAAAATGGTGACACATAATAATTATCTCCAGCACAACACTCTTGTGCCACTTCGAGTGTCATTTTCAGCAAAAAAGCACCCGCTTTGTTGACTCAAACTTTGGCCACTGTGTGAATAATTCTTGGTTTAACGGTATGAAGCAAGACAGCAGAATCCCCCCCCCCCCAAAAAAAGAGTCATACACTTGGTGATTACAGCCAAGATGTCCAGAGCTGCAGCCAAGTTTCTCGGATTCGACCCCACGGGTAGAAGCGAAAACATTAACATCTGGTGGCTCAGCCATTGTAGACACAAAAAAAAAAAAAAACCCCCCAAAAAACAACAACTCAGCGCCCATTCAAACAAACCAGCTGGAAGGATTTCAACTGAAAAGACGGAAAGAATTCAGACATAGACTCCAGTTAAAAATTTACAATTTGGTGCCCCAACCATTTTAAACACAAAAAAAAAAAAAAAACCCACCAAAAAACAACAACTCAGCGCCCATTCAAACAAACCAGCTGGAAGGATTTCAACTGAAAAGACGGAAAGAATTCAGACATAGACTCCAGTTTGGAGTTCTCTCACCTACAACATCAACACTGCGTAGAACAGCGAGTTCATCTTCTTCACACCTTCTTTCAAAACACACCTTGCGCACACTGCGTGTGACCTCACCTGGTGTAGTTTGTCTGCTGCGCCTCCGTCCATCCCAACGCCAGAGACAGGAGCAAGGAGATGCCCCACATACGGCCTGCGTACACCATGATGCACTCACTGAGATACTATTTGAAGAGAGAGGGAGTTTGCTGCATGAGGCAAGAGGTTCAGGAGCGCGGTTGAAGGAGGAGAAAGACGAGGAGGAGGAGGAGGAGGAGGGTGGGTGGAGCGACTTGAAGATCGGCGGGGTTAGATAGTTCTCGAAGGGATAAATATTAAAAGAGTGATGCTAAAGGGACAAAGACTGCGAGAAAAGAGCCCGGAGGGGGCGATCAGCGGTGGGAGGAAGGGAGTACAAGGCTTTAATCAGAACCAGATGTTTTCGCCATCACATCACAGGTTTTGGATGGAATGCATACGTCTTGCGCTGGTGGCTTTTACCTTGACTCGTTTCCCGTCCATGGTGGGTCTTACTGATGGTTGCATAATTCACAAGTTGCTCAGGTTGGAAGCACAGCCTGAAGCTCAATGAGGTGAATCAATCACACAAGCAGGACTCCTAATTTTCACATTCTATTGAGTTGAACTTATGTTGCTTTTACATTTCTTTTTCCCCGTTCTTGTTATTCTTTTTTTTTTTCAGCCTTTGCGCAAGTATCAGCTCCTGTGAGATCTTGATTTCATATTATCATCAAACAAATGTATCCTTGCATTGTATCTCCCCAAACCCCAGGATGTCCTTTGACTCCATACAGAGTCTGAGCCAGAGGGCGTCTGTTTACACACACACACACACACACACACACACACACACACACACGTCCACCCCCTGCAATCCACCAAGACAACACTACAGTGGAGGAGTTCTCACGCATGAGTCAACTCTTCGGTTGACACTGCTGAGGCCTGGAGCAGGTAAGCTGCTCCAATAAATGCTGTCAAACCAGACACTTTCTTGCACTGCTGACCTACAACCGATTGATCAGAGTCTGGAACCACCGAGGCGGACAGCCAATAAAAACACAAGACACACTTTCCACAGAGTCAGTGTCTCCAGTTACATGTGGCACATTACTTAAAAGCACTTTTTTGTTTCAGTTTTACTCTGATTTAATGTTTCACTTTACAAACTTCACGCAATGCTTTCTGTTGTCAAAATAAATGCTAAAGAGGTCCGGTAGAGAAACAACTATGTGCCGGTCACTGCTGTGCTGTTTGTCTTCAAACGGGAAGTCCAGATAAGAGACAGCAGAGGCTGGAATGCAGTGATGATGGCATCCCAGTGAGCGGCCACTGCCAATGCATTGCATGCGTGTGTATTGGGGGAGGGGGAGGACCCAAGTCAAGGCAAGGGGTTCTGCAATAACTCCAGATAGATGTATGATTGGCAAGATTTCATTTAGCCGAGATTCGCAATGGGTGTGAGGGGAGGAGTGAAAAAGAATTCTGAGAAAAACAACTTGGAGAAGAACGGATCTGACTCAGCAGCATTAGGAAAGTCATTTTGCTTGTGATGCATTCGCAACTGTTACTCCTCTATTTGTTTATTCATCCGTTTTTTTTTTTACATAGAAAAGGAAAATGAAGACAACTAATTGTCTGAGAATCCCATCTGGTCTCTGTCAGCTTGGTTCCACTCAAATTCACTCTATGTCGATTAAAGCAAAAAATACATCATCAACAAAAGCAAAAGGGGTTTTAACATGTGTCGAGAAAACTGTTAATCACACTCTGCCAGACTTTCAAGAAACAGCTGGAGAAAAATCAAGCCCGTCTAGCTCTAATCTGAAGAGGAAAATATTTTTTTGCTGAAAGTGCGCCGAGAATCTTGACGTATATCATCTGACATCACCATTAAAGCAACGCCACGTAACGCAGTGCACGCATTTTATTTTTCATGTTGCCTAATGATCCTGAGATTTGTATTACAAACCTGATTCGTAACATTTTAAATATGTGAGATTTAACATGAGGTGATGTTTACTTTATGCTGTACTGGAAATAGCATCTTGGTCGTTCATCCATTTTCATTTAGGTGGGCTGGAGCCTATCCAAGTTGACTTTGGGCAGGTTGGGCATTACACTGATGCGATCACATTCTCAGCTATGGACAATTTAGACTGCTCAGACGACTTTGAAGTTGGCTCCTCGGCTGCGCTCCCGTTCGTGCAGCTGAGATATAATATTGAGTGTGAAACAGGTGAGAAAACCAACCACCACCGTTGCTATGGCAGCCGATCAACGTCCCTGACTTGATCCAAAGTGGATGCAATCTTGCTTTTGAATATGCAAATGGTGCACACTTTGAACTTAATACCGATCGGATTTTTCATGTTGGGTCTCATTTGAAAGCTGGTGTAGTGGCGAATGTGTTTTTTTTTTTTAACTGAAGATACATGAGGAAAAAAAGGCGTCTTCACTCATGCAAAACCGTGGAAAACATTGCCCCCTACAGACGAGAAAGCGCAATTGCGGTCTTTTAAGGTAGAATGCAAAGCGAACTTCGGGGTGGGGGGCGGGGGGCGCCTCCGTGGGAGGTTCAGCGTGGCAGTCTTCAGTGAATTTAACATGCATGCTTTTGGAAACTCAAGTGAACTGTGACGTGGTGTCGCGCATTTGTCAATTTACTGACACCTGGTGGTTAAAATGCATAGCTACCACCTGGCAGTCTCCATTGGAACATTCCATTGGAACTCCTCGGTATGGAATTCTCCCCCGTGCTTGTTTCTCCCAAAACACGTTTCTTACAAAGTTCGCGCAAGTTGTCTCGGGATCTTATCATAGTGTGCAAGTGGTTATAGTGATGTGACCTCTCAGTGTTTTTTTTTTTCTATTTCAGGATCGTGTCTCGTGACGCACACCACAGACGATACGACTTGGGCTATTATGAGTGCTATTTATTTTTTATACTTTGCTTTCAATGTTATCGCGACACCCAACACATATGTGTGCTTGTATGTCTTTACAATCAGGAAACTGGGTTTGTTGGTGATATATGGATACTTGTGTGTTGGCCAAAGCTGTGTAATTAAGCAGTGTCTTGTAGAGTTCATTCGGGTAACTTGAGGTTATCATTTTTTGTCACTTGTGTAACACGGTGGTTTAAAGTCATGTGGGTATGCCCTTTGCAAGTGTTTCTCAATGTATTTTGCACAGAAAGACAAAGAGAACACCCTTGGCCACAAGACTGTTTTCCAATATACATATATTTTATGATGTTCATCAATATAATAAGACATTGATAGATTTACACTACAATTATTTTATACAATTTAGTTTCCCATTCATTTTTCTCTTCTTTACATAGAGCCAACCTTGTTTCGTTTCTATTTCCATATTAAATGACAGCACAACAAATCTATCAATAAATAAAAGCTAAAACAAAAAGTAAGAATGAAATGAGACGGAGGACATTGCCCATGATCCCCCAGTCGGGTCCCTCCAGTAAGACCAGACAACCAGGGGCAATGCCAGTCCCATAGAGAAATTAAAATCTTTCCTCAAAAATAAATATATTCAAACAAAACAAAACAAAAAAAAACATACAGCATTGTGTGGATGCAAACAGCAATCTGATGTAAACAGCAGAATTAGTCTTAAGCTTTTTGGACAATTGAAGGTAAAAATACGTTTCCTCCCTGCTGACTTGAGCGATCTTTACCTCGACCAATCAGTGCTTGCACAAGATTCAGATACATTTGGGAGTTTTGTTTTCTTCTTAAATAATAATAATAATAAAACGCGAGCATACAAAACATCTTTCTATGTAGTTTGTGGAATATTGTAAGCCGTCCAGTGACCATTCAGAAACTCAATAGGTTCCCTCCTAATACTACACTCATCCCATTTGGAGTGACAAATCCATCATGGTGGAGATTTAGGTTTGTTATTCAACAACAGAGCACGTTTATACTCATTCAACAGTTGATTAGTACGCTTATTTCAAGCTTGAATTACAAGATCACAAAGAAATAAAAGCAAGAAAAAAAACCCCACTTCATCGTCATGAAGTGTTTCAGATCACCCAACAAATGGGGCTGAGTGCAGCTTAAATTTGAGACAGCTGAACATTTCACAAGGATGGCGTCAGGCAATATTCTCACATAGAAGAGATGTGCTCCCCCCCCGAAAGAATGACAACAACAAACAATACGTGCCACGCTGTTCAAATATAGGTGCACGCCTTTTTTCACACGATACAGCAAAGCAACGTGAAGAGACAGCGCTCGCTTCATTTTCTCCGTTTGTGATCAAATTGGTTGAGCAATCACAGGACGACAGCTGGATTGATGGAATAACACCTGTCCTACCCCAATCAGTAGTGTCACTTCACCTCAGCAGGATGGCGAAAAGGGCCTCGTTATTCATAACGGTGTTCCAAATTTATACTTTGCTAATTCCAAAAAATGTTTTTGTCCCCTTTTACTGTACATCTTTGTTGACTTTGAAAACAAAACAAAATAGGCCCCCCTTTACCCTCAAAACAAGTTCTGATTACAACGCTTAATGTAGATTTCCGTCCGATATTTGGAGCTACTTACCGGTAAAAGTTGGCAGGAAAAGGTCATGAAAACGAGGTTGTGCTAGTATTAGTTAAAGGATCCTGTGTCTAAAATCTGGTTACGGATTCAATAATTTCCTTTAGACTTGCAACACACAAGGTGTTCCGAGAATCGATGCATGCGGTCTGTAAATTCTGCTTTAACGTGCATAAGGTCGACTCACTGGCCTCACTGACACACCCTGCGGTGTGTGTGGCAGTAGGAGGTCCTGTAATTGCAGACAACAAGGTTCGGATCGTTTGGGTTCACCGACTCCACGCCGCTTGTTTTTGATGGCAATCGTCAGCACAAGGCCGGGCATGAGGTCTTTGGTTATCTTTTGTTCTGGGTGTAGGTACACTTGAGAATGTAATGTGGGTTAAGGGTTTTCGGGAGGGTGGGGGGCTTGTGGTCTTGTCAAAAGGTTAGGCCCTCAAATCTGTCCCCACTATCCTTATGTACTACAGTGGGCAAGGAAACAAAGGTGCCTTGAACCTAAGAGATTTAAGCGGCCTAATCTGTCGGGATAAACTGGGGATATTCCTGGGGTAGAGCTATTCTAACACACACCACATGGATGCACCTGCACATGCGCACAACAGTACGATTCGGAATCAGCAACGAGTAAAGGTGGTGGATCTACCAAACTGGCTGCTAACATAAAAACCCCAAGGCTATCAAGTACACATAATGAATACACTCAGTTTGAACTACAGCGGATTATGACCGAGACTGAAAGCTAATGCTAAAGTGTGTTTCTTATTCATCTGGACCTAGTCAGCTAAAACTACAGCAAGTCCACCTATTGCTCAGTTACTCATCAAGTAGCCGACTGGGGGGGCCATATGTACCACCCCAAACCGCGGAAGCTAACAGTTTTGCAAGTGTACACGAAAGGGCGCCGTGACAGACAAGTGCAATGAACAAGAGAAGCTCCCCCCCTCAGCAGCTTGTTGCTTGGCAGTGTATAACGCACACAGCGGAATTATAAAAAGGAAACGCACACGCCAGACAGAAGGAGAGGAATTTCCTCTTCGTCTGTCTGTTTCACACAAAAATACACTATAATAAAAAATAGAATCTATTACATTTATGGATGCAGAACCATAGGGACAACCAAGGAATGCTCTGATTTTTTTCTTTGATTTGTTTTAATAAGTTTTGAAAAGTCAATTGCGGGGCCTTTTTAACATGCAAGCAAGGCTGAACTGTTTCATGTGCTCTTCATATGGAGGTGTGGCTGCACACGTTCGGCCCGGTTATATAGCCCAGTGTGGTAGCGCCATCAAAAACAAGCTGGTTCAGTGCACTTTCAACTGCTTCCGTTCTTTTGACCGACAGTAACTAAAAGTAGATGCCAAGGCCTTTTAATGTGTGCCAGTTTGACATGGGAAATTAAGATTCATGTCTGTGATGGTGCCACTAAAACCAGTTACAAACCTGACAAGAGCATGTTAGTTGTAGTAGCCAACATAAATGATTCCTACCACAAGATGACATCCTAATGCTGCTTCCCACCAAATTCACCCTTAGACCTTATCGTATTTTTTTTCCCAGTTGTTTGAATGACTGACTTCAGCCTTTAGTTTCATTGCGCACTTGACATATACTTGCGATTACACATGTGCTACAGTAAGAGCATTTTGCACTAGACTGCAATGAAGGAATGTTTTCGAAATAAGACACTACGTACTTAATTTAAAAAAAAAAAAAGAAAAGAAAGAAACACCTACAGACATTGGTCCAACGGTACTATGGCAGTTTTAAAACGATTGGGCATTCAAGCATGCTGCAAGACACGAGGGAGACGGCCGGAGAGCTGAGGACATAAACAGACATTAAAAGAGAAACGTGGGAAGGGAAAAGACCTTCAGAGGAGATGCAACGGTCAGATTTAAAGGACGGGGAATAATAACCAAGCGATAGTGGAAAAATTCACGCGTTACTTTGTGTTGATCAATACCTGTGAGCAATAACTTAGACCTGAATGAACCTCAAGTGATTTCAACCTGGAGATTGCGACAGCTAAAAATCCAAACAGATTTCAGTTCTGCGGCTCACTCGATTGTTGCCGCCGTTTCAGAAATACAGCGAAACAAAGAGTAAGCGGGGGACGGACGGGTGACTAGAACATGCAAGATACACACTTGGATTATTAGGCAGTAGTTGACGCTGAAGCATACAGAAAATGAATACAAAACTTAAAAAATACAAAATGCACACACTCGCACGCACACCTACAAAACAGTATATATCAGAATAAAACTCTACAAATGACTAGATATAGATCAGTCTTGTAACAATTATCATTGCCAATCAGTTTCCTTTTCTGCTGTTGCATCGTCACAAATGTTTGGCTCTCGTTATGGCAGGTTAGAGAAGCCGAGAGGACCCGGAACGGGACGCGGGGCCGCACACTCACGGGACAAATATTTGACAGGGGTCCAGAGGCGAGGTGGTGGAAATGACTGAACCGTATGGCTCTGAAGGGTTTAGGGGTGTTCTATTGAAGCCAATCGGGAAAGATACATTGACTCATTATCTGTGATTCCTTTTGTCATGAATTTCGGGTTTCCTTCTGAAGCAAGGTCGTTGGGATTAGACTGGGGTAGGAAGTGACTCTTCTTAGGTGCTGAAGTACACTGCAGAAAGCAAGAAACGACATCAGGCATGTCAAAGTCTGTTTCTACACTCTGCAACATACACGCCTACTGTACTCTAGTATGAACACATTTTAACGATCAAGATAAAAACAATTCTTACCAATAATGACAATGAGGACAATCACGCATATCACACCCAGGATAATCATCATCTGTGGTCAGAAGATAAAAACAAACCAAGTTGTTGATATTGTCACATGACAAAAGTGGTGAAAGGAAAATTGGTCATGCCATCAGGAGAATTTTGTGCTTGAACTGGAAATTACTTTTCTGATAAACCTCGAGTACATCCAAGAAATACATTTGTTGCTCATGATGAGCGCGTGTGCATGTCCCCACCTTAGCATTCTTCCACCAGTACTTATTCTTCAGTTTTGCAGCGCTGGTCTCAAACTGAGAGGCTCCAGCTTGCAGAGCGTCAGCCCTGTCGTCCAGTTCGGACAGCTTCTGATCACGCTCCAGAACCTTATCCACATTTACACGCATAATATCCACCACCTGGGAAGTGAAACGATGTGGCGTTGATTTTTTTTTTTGCTTTTGATCAGCAGCTCGCAGTGTACAATAAATGAGGCTGCAAGATGACTTGTGCTCACCTCGTCCACCTGTGCCTGTGTCTGCTGCAGACGGCGGTTACTGGTGAGGTTAGGAGGAGCCTGACTCCCTCCCTCTGGTGCAGGGGCTCCAGCTGGGGCAGACCTAATTATGAAAAAAAACATATATGGTGGACCCCACTCACATATTTGCGGTTCGGCATTTGCAAATTCATGTAGCGTTGGATTTTTAAAGAGCAATCTAACCTCTAGCTCACCTGTTTATTTTCTTTGTGTCCAGGCCAAAGCCATATCGAATACAAAAATATATCTTTGGCCCCATCTGGTGGTATCTTTGTGCCAAGTAACTATGTTGAACTTGATTTCGTCAGACTTTGCCAATAGAAAAAAGTGATTTGCTGCCATCTTGTGGCATCTATAAGAAATTACAAACCTGTGGGGGGAGCGTCAATAAATGGTGCCACACTGTCCCTGAGAGGTCATGGGTCAAAGCGTACACGGCAGGGACTATCAGTATTGTTTTTTTATTGCTGTTATTTTAAAATATGATTTTACTTTGCGACGGATTTATTTTTGTTCATTTTCAAACAGGAACATAAACAGCAATATAGATAGAGCACAGTTCGACAGTTGCGAATTCATCCATTAATGGATTTGGAGGGGAAACCTATCCAACATGACTCACTGACTATCTAATACAAAACTAAGGCCTTGGCGCCACCGGGTGGCACCTTGGTGGCAAGCAAATGCGTTGACCAAAGGGGAAGCGTTTCCTTTTGCGGGTCATAGCCTTGTCTAATCGAAAAAAAAAGTGCTTTGCTTCCATCTTGTGTACTGGTAGGTCATTCCAAATGTTTCTGGATGGGCCTCAATTACAATTGACAGCATGGCTCGATCACTATTCCCCACTTTGCTGTAAGTCCACTTTATCTCAATGGAATCTTATTATTTAATTTAGACAAATATATTTTTTCAAATATGTGCATTGGTGTGTGTATTCTGATAAGATTTGCCTGTGTCCATAACAAATAATAAATACCATGGCATCCTGCCCTAATATGAGGTCAGACAAAAAAAAAAAAAAAAAAATTGCACGTAAAAATCCTTGTTTTGAACCTAATGTGCTTGCCACGCTAAATTTAGCATGCTTGAGGATGGTAGGTGAATGGTGGCAAAGTTCCTCCACCACTGTCAGGCAAAACTGTCTGGAAAGGTCACCTTATCACCAACACGCATTACTAATCCTTCAACAACATAAAATCCTATTGGATAATTGGCCAAATGGTCTGGTCCTTCCTTGCATATTATTATTGGCAAGGCTAACGAGTGATATTGATATTGTTCATTGATCTAAAAACGTCATTTGACAATAACATGAGGCTTCCACAGTAACTTTTCATTCATTGCTGTTTATTTTGTGTTTTTTCCGCATCCTGAATTCCACCACTTTAGTTGTATTTTCAGTGGAAATCAATGATATCTGGTGCATTTACCATGCACTGAATTCAAAATGCCAAAAAATCACGTGCGTGATTTCTATGAAAAAGACACCGCAAACATTTTATTCCCTTTCCAAATTTTAATCAGCTCAGATCCTCATGAACAGCAACATCAGATCTCATGATACTGACTTGGGAAGATGTCATACAGTATTCCTCTTTGCAAAGACCTCAGACAATACAACGTTTATTCTTCAGCTAAATATATTCACTTCCTTTAGACTTTCAAATATAGTATTGAGTTAATGGCTTTGGAAAATAACTGGATTTCTGAATCCACACTGTCATCAGTACGATGCGTGACTTTCAGCACTGGAGAGAGACATTTCAGCACTGAACAGCACCACTCCAGTCCGGACCAGTATGACTTGGCTCGCTGTCTATTGTGACCTCTCGGACCTTAAACCTTACATTCCTTTCAATTCTATACAACCAAAACCACGGTCACACGACTGCCACTAAAATATCACGTTTCACGGCCTATAAATACTATGGCTGCCGACAGCAGCAGTTGGGAGGTTCCTTGACAAGAGATTTGATTTCAAGCAAAAATGGTCGACTGAAATTTGATAATAAATCGAGATTTGAGGCAGCAAAGTGAGTATACAAACACGGAGTGGCATGTAATGATGCTGGGACCCGATCAAATTTAAGATTGTGGGCTTTCTTACAAACGTGTAAGGTTGACTTAGCCATTTTGTTCTTTATCCTCCATTCATTCAGTTCTCCCCAAAAAACATTTGCTAATACATGCACTGTACTTCAAAAACACCAGACGAGAAACGTTCTAATGGCTAGAGTGGAATATGGTGATATATAATTATAGTTAGCTGTCCACCCTCGCGTATCATCGACGACAGAGAGGCTAGGCTATCCCCACCCCCCGCTGCAGGAGGTTGCAACTATCAGGCCCAGGCCTAAATTACAGTTAGTAAAATGACAGTATATGTGACGAGTTGTTTTAAATGTGTCAAATAGTGTCCCGTCGTTTAGACCCCAAAATGGCCTTGTGGTTAACGCCATAAAAACAAGACGGGCTCCACAATATGCCCTTGATGCTTCTAGAAATAGCTCCATCGTCACCCTTGCCTCAACAACCAAAATTACCACCCGACAAATGTTAGACATGGGCGAAAGGGTTATTTTGTAATCAATGTAGCCCCAATGAATAGATTAAGTAGTGTGTGTGCAATGATAAAGGCGACGTCCTTTCAAACAGAACCGGTCCAAACTGGAAAAAAATGCGTGCGTGCTGGCTGCAGCTAGCGGCACGAGACGAGGCAGAAAACAAACATGGCTCGTCTTTTCACCTCAAAAGCGTCAAAAATCACAAACGCAAACGAGACTTACGTTTGCTCCGAGGCTAAACTGACCTATTATTTCCTGCCATTCGAGTAACATTAACGGACAGCTGTCAAATAAAACATCCGCGCAGCACAATACAAACGAAATAGAGAATGATGAAAGAGGCATATACTTCATCCAGGTAGTCGCCGGCATCTTTTCGTGGAAAACCCATTCATGCATCTAAATCCACAAAGAAACAAGCTAAAACGCTGTACTTACATTTTTTGTGGTAGTGTTGGCTAGACAGCTGTGCTGAAATCCGGGCTGGAAATGTTAGCGTGTGCTAAGTGGCTGGCAGATGGATGTGGATTGCCTTGTGCGCTCCTCTCTAGCCTTGTGGCACCCTTTGGATGCTTAGCCTGGCGTTCCCTGCCTATATAGCCGAGGAGGGGCACTGGTTTGGGTCCTCGGTCGAGAAATGTCCACTTAGCTATTAAAACACCCCTTTTCCTCTTCGTATATGACTGCAGCAGCAGACTGTTACTGTAGGTGACGGGAGACCGAGCCGTGATGAAGGTATAACATACAGTTAGGATTAGCTGGACAAAGATGGCTCGGTGACGTCAGCCGAGGCGAGTTTCATGTTAATAAAATGGCTAGGGACGTCTTGGGAGCTGCTTTATCACTTGTGACAACTCATTTTTAAACTAAACACGTCAGTGTTAACATCGTAGGTGTTTTTCCCTTACAGGTGTTAAGTGTGATAGTTATAGCGCGGTTGGAAGTTCGCAGAAAGCAGCTTATTTTGATCGCCTCAAGATTTGTCAACAAAATGGCGTACCTCGGAAGGGGGCGTGGTGAGCTGCACAGCGGGTGTTCATGGATGCTCACTGTTGATTTGATCAAACAACGGAGTGAACCCAGGAGAACCCACCTGAAAGCTTCTTTACTCATTCTCATTCGGAATATTATTTGGTGCATTTATTCATAGCTGTGTTGAGGAGGTCTGTCCTATGGAAAGCCGTTTTTAACACGTTTTCAGCATTCTTAATCCAAAGAGATTTATTTTGCATCCATTTTCTGCACCATTTATTCTCATTCGGGTCACAGGTGAACTGCAGCCCATCTCAGTTGATTTTTAGATGAGGGTGGTCATCAGCCACTGGAATGGTGCACATGGATAAACAACCAATCACATCCACATTGACAACCAAAGGACAATTTTTGAGTCTTTCGTGAACCTAACATGCATGTTTTTTGGAATGTGGGTGTAAACCAGAGTACCCAGAGAAAACAACAAAAATATGCAAACTCCGCAAAGGAAGGCCAGAGCCTCGATTTCAACCCCGAATTTCTGAACCGTGATGTGAATGTGAAAATCACTCGGTCACCGTGCTACTGGTTTTCTTGAATAAGTTAAATACTTTATTTTTCTTGATTTGATTTGTTATTACCGGCCCCATCTTGTCATGAATAATAATCAAGCAAATTAATTTTAAATACATGACACCAAATTCCAAATCCCCAGAAAAGTATTGGACAAGTAGCGATATCGCACAAATGTAATAGAAAACATACTGACACAAAATGGAATTGATCAAGAAAATACTGGACATTGTATATTACCATAACTACATCAATTAGCTAAAAGTGTAGCAGATGAAAAAAAAAAAAGTACTGTACCATGTGTGAACCTTATTTTGTGTTTCACAACTTTGAAATACAGACGTTGAATCAAAACAGGGAAATGATGACTTCTGAAAGTCTGAATGCTAATCAACTGTGCTCTTAAAATGATTTTTATCACCATTGACCTCAGATCATGGATGTACAGTATTACATTTGGCATGTTGAAGGTTCCTGGTCAGTGTTTCAACATTCAATAAAATCAAACAAGCAGTTGCAACAGAGCTGAGAAATTTAATATTTGTAAAAGTGCCTCTAAACTGCCTACGAGGTATACATTTTGATGTGACCGTTTTGACAGGTCAAGTTCTTATTGACTGAAATGGTTTGGAGTCAAAAGTTACATGCGCGGCTGAACAAACATAATCATGTCCTGTTGTGATAACTGAAGACATTATGATGTTAGGATGTAATATTAAATCCAATGATTTGAAAAGGGTGGACTTCTTTCACAGTTACGGTCCTATTTTGTATTCAACCACAATACAACAATCACAGTTGTATGGCAACAAAAGCTTCCTCAAAAGCCTAAAACACAAATAACCGATTGAATCATCAACATTCCTGGTGAAGTTCTCAGTTTTCTGATATAAATCTTTCTAAATATTGCTTTATTTTAAACGCGCACACATGCAAAAAAGGAATTTCTGACAATAAACATTAACCAAAAATAAACCCCAGTCAGACTTGGGATATCACTAACTCAGAGGTTTTGTGTAAGAAGTGATATTGCACTGCTTTAAAAAAAAAAAAAACTAAGATATCACGCTGGAGTCTAACATCGATCAGTACACCCACGAGACAGGCACCCACTGCGGAGTGGAGGTGACCTGCTCCAAGGTTTCTTCCACGACTTTCACACTCTCGTCAACATCGTTGTTGACAATGATCAGATCAAAGAAGTGTCTGTAGGCCATCAGGATGGCGTCGGACTCCTTCTGGATCATTGTCAGATTTTCCGTCTAGGATGATAAAATGCAGAAGATTAGCTGGTGGAGTCAAATATCCTTGTCGGCTATTACAATAAGGACGTCTCACCTGAGTAGCCGTGTTGGTGGGTGCAATGAAGACCATAAGAGGAGCAAAATCAGCAGTCCGCAAAACCTTCAACGTCTGCCAAGAAATGAAGAAAAGATTGAAAAATACTGGGGAAAAAAGACCCATATTCGGGTCATGAGCTAGAAAACATTTTCATACTATTGTTGCATAGGCCTACTGTAATTATGACTTTGTTAATGCGTTAGCATAGGTTAGGAACAGAGACTATACACGCGCCAACTAAAGATTCGATTTGGTGTAATGGAATTCAGTCGACACTGAGGGCCCAACGAGTACAATACAAACCTGTGGTTCTACATCCAGCAGTGCAATTTTGCCCTGCTCGTGGATCTTCTGGATGGTATCAATTTTGGTGCCAAACATATTTCCCTGGAAGCTGCCGTACTCAAGCAGCGCATTTTCTGAGATGCACTTTGTCATGGCGTCGTTGGAGATGAAATAATATTCCTGCCCATTCTCCTCATCCTTCCGTTGCGTTCTGGTGGTGTCTGTCGATGTAAAGTTAGAATTGTGAAACTCAATCCCTTCTGTGTTGTATACAATTGGTTGATCTTCTGTACTACTTACGTGGAACAGGATAAGAAAATTTCTCTGGATATTTTTTCAGCAATGAATTTTTAATGTGACTCCTGCCTACACCAGGTGCACCTAAAACATCAAATTCAAAACACATTTCATTGCTCTCCAATGATGACCAGCACCAAAATATTGCATGTAATTATTCAAAGATTGTTAACTCGTTCAGTGCCGGCCATTTTAAGAATGTTCTTTTTCACTAGAATGAATCAAAAACTCGGATCAGCGGATTAGAAAATGAATGGATGGTTGAATAAAAACTGCACATTTCCAAAGTAGCAGAGGAATGTAACTTACCAATGAGCACCAAAGTTTTCCGTTTGAAAGCAGGGAGCCGGACAACCTCCTCGTAAGAAATCACATCCAACTGGTCAAAAACTGAAATAACGTTTGGTTGTGAGCAAACAACACAATGGTGGGGGAAAAAAAAAAAAAAAAACATGCTCCCAGTGATAAACTCACTTGAGCTGTGCTTAGCCAGGTACTTGTCTTTGCACTTCTTTTTCTTTCCGAATGGGCTCCAGGACTGACTGTCTTTGGCTTTGCTTTTACTTGCCACTCTCCTGTCGGGGGAAACAAAGTTTTGTGCAACTTGCTGAAACGAGGGTAAACACAATTGTGTCAAGCCTGAGACGGTCCCAAAACACGTTCACTGTGTGAAATACCAATACTGTGCACGCACAAACATGTTTCAAATCAATGCAAAAATGAATACACGCCAATAGAAGCTTCAACCTATTTTCTGATGGTTCTAATTCACAAGAATCCAACCACAGCTCAGCTGAATGTTATCATCATCCAATTGTGAAGAATTTTCTTGTGTTCACCAAGATAGGAAGCTTTTCAAATGAGGAGTACTCATTCTTGCAAAGCATTGATGTGCCATTCATTTGAGCACTTCCCGAGCATCACAGACTGTCCCGGTGTTGTTCATAGGCCCATAAAGGACCAAATTTTCATGGTATAACATTTACATAATGGCGTTTTTTTTTAATCTGGGGGTTGCTATGAAGATTAGAAACAGTGGCCTTGCAAAAGTATTCCACCCTCTTGAGCTTTTTGTGGCAAAAAGTCAAAAAGAAAAAGTGGGACGAACACGTTGGCAAGCCACTGTGTGCGCGTGTGTATATATAAGAAGCTTAATGTTCATCATCTAAAAATTATGAAATTAAAATGAAATGATATATTTGTCCAACCATTCCTGGAGCTCCGGCGACGGTATTAGTCCAGCGAAGTTGGCAGCACTGCTCTCTACTGTACCCTGCCACCAGTTGGGATCCTGCTTGTTGATGATTTGGATGATGTCACCAGTTTGAAAACGTAGCCCGGCCTCTTTGCACGGGATGAGTTCATCGGTGGAGGGGTCGTAGTTAAATTGGGCCCTCATGTACGTCTGTAAATCGAGAGGATAACACCGTGAGTTTGGAAGTGTAGATGAGTACAATTTCATTTTGTGCGTTGCCAGCGTGTAACAAAATAATAATATATGCTTTTATGGTAGAGTGGATACAGACTTTCAGTGTTAACAAAAATAAACAGATATACTACTTGCATAAAATAATATACAGGATGAAAAATACTGTACTTATACATCTATCCAATGCAAGAGTACATTGTTGCTTTTACAAAAATTACAACAAAACATTTAGTGTTGATTACCACGGCCAAAGGGATTAAGAAACTCTTCCCAAAGAGTCGCAGTGAGCCGGATCAAATTTGATACAAAAACATGAATTCGGTTTTACATTCTACATTCCCGTTGAAAATTATGAACCATCAAAATCTCACTGAAATTGACAGCTGATCTAATACAATGTATTAATCACTACTATGAATGGGATATTTGAAGGATACTTTGTAGTAATGCGTCCATTGGATTAAACGCATGAGGAAATATGATATTATTAACAGTACTTAGAGAGCCGAAAGAAACACACTAAACTACGATTGTCTTTTACATTCAAACTAACAAAGCCAGTGTCCTCTACTTAAATAGTCACCTTGGATTTTCATCGATTAAGAGAAGATTCACCAGGAGAACCCACCTGAAAGCTTCTTTACTCATTCTCATTCGGAATATTATTTGGTGCATTTATTCATAGCTGTGTTGAGGAGGTCTGTCCTATGGAAAGCCGTTTTTAACACGTTTTCAGCATTCTTAATCCAAAGAGATTTATTTTGCATCCATTTTCTGCACCATTTATTCTCATTCGGGTCACAGGTGAACTGCAGCCCATCTCAGTTGATTTTTAGATGAGGGTGGTCATCAGCCACTGGAATGGTGCACATGGATAAACAACCAATCACATCCACATTGACAACCAAAGGACAATTTTTGAGTCTTTCGTGAACCTAACATGCATGTTTTTTGGAATGTGGGTGTAAACCAGAGTACCCAGAGAAAACAACAAAAATATGCAAACTCCGCAAAGGAAGGCCAGAGCCTCGATTTCAACCCCGAATTTCTGAACCGTGATGTGAATGTGAAAATCACTCGGTCACCGTGCTACTGGTTTTCTTGAATAAGTTAAATACTTTATTTTTCTTGATTTGATTTGTTATTACCGGCCCCATCTTGTCATGAATAATAATCAAGCAAATTAATTTTAAATACATGACACCAAATTCCAAATCCCCAGAAAAGTATTGGACAAGTAGCGATATCGCACAAATGTAATAGAAAACATACTGACACAAAATGGAATTGATCAAGAAAATACTGGACATTGTATATTACCATAACTACATCAATTAGCTAAAAGTGTAGCAGATGAAAAAAAAAAAAGTACTGTACCATGTGTGAACCTTATTTTGTGTTTCACAACTTTGAAATACAGACGTTGAATCAAAACAGGGAAATGATGACTTCTGAAAGTCTGAATGCTAATCAACTGTGCTCTTAAAATGATTTTTATCACCATTGACCTCAGATCATGGATGTACAGTATTACATTTGGCATGTTGAAGGTTCCTGGTCAGTGTTTCAACATTCAATAAAATCAAACAAGCAGTTGCAACAGAGCTGAGAAATTTAATATTTGTAAAAGTGCCTCTAAACTGCCTACGAGGTATACATTTTGATGTGACCGTTTTGACAGGTCAAGTTCTTATTGACTGAAATGGTTTGGAGTCAAAAGTTACATGCGCGGCTGAACAAACATAATCATGTCCTGTTGTGATAACTGAAGACATTATGATGTTAGGATGTAATATTAAATCCAATGATTTGAAAAGGGTGGACTTCTTTCACAGTTACGGTCCTATTTTGTATTCAACCACAATACAACAATCACAGTTGTATGGCAACAAAAGCTTCCTCAAAAGCCTAAAACACAAATAACCGATTGAATCATCAACATTCCTGGTGAAGTTCTCAGTTTTCTGATATAAATCTTTCTAAATATTGCTTTATTTTAAACGCGCACACATGCAAAAAAGGAATTTCTGACAATAAACATTAACCAAAAATAAACCCCAGTCAGACTTGGGATATCACTAACTCAGAGGTTTTGTGTAAGAAGTGATATTGCACTGCTTTAAAAAAAAAAAAAACTAAGATATCACGCTGGAGTCTAACATCGATCAGTACACCCACGAGACAGGCACCCACTGCGGAGTGGAGGTGACCTGCTCCAAGGTTTCTTCCACGACTTTCACACTCTCGTCAACATCGTTGTTGACAATGATCAGATCAAAGAAGTGTCTGTAGGCCATCAGGATGGCGTCGGACTCCTTCTGGATCATTGTCAGATTTTCCGTCTAGGATGATAAAATGCAGAAGATTAGCTGGTGGAGTCAAATATCCTTGTCGGCTATTACAATAAGGACGTCTCACCTGAGTAGCCGTGTTGGTGGGTGCAATGAAGACCATAAGAGGAGCAAAATCAGCAGTCCGCAAAACCTTCAACGTCTGCCAAGAAATGAAGAAAAGATTGAAAAATACTGGGGAAAAAAGACCCATATTCGGGTCATGAGCTAGAAAACATTTTCATACTATTGTTGCATAGGCCTACTGTAATTATGACTTTGTTAATGCGTTAGCATAGGTTAGGAACAGAGACTATACACGCGCCAACTAAAGATTCGATTTGGTGTAATGGAATTCAGTCGACACTGAGGGCCCAACGAGTACAATACAAACCTGTGGTTCTACATCCAGCAGTGCAATTTTGCCCTGCTCGTGGATCTTCTGGATGGTATCAATTTTGGTGCCAAACATATTTCCCTGGAAGCTGCCGTACTCAAGCAGCGCATTTTCTGAGATGCACTTTGTCATGGCGTCGTTGGAGATGAAATAATATTCCTGCCCATTCTCCTCATCCTTCCGTTGCGTTCTGGTGGTGTCTGTCGATGTAAAGTTAGAATTGTGAAACTCAATCCCTTCTGTGTTGTATACAATTGGTTGATCTTCTGTACTACTTACGTGGAACAGGATAAGAAAATTTCTCTGGATATTTTTTCAGCAATGAATTTTTAATGTGACTCCTGCCTACACCAGGTGCACCTAAAACATCAAATTCAAAACACATTTCATTGCTCTCCAATGATGACCAGCACCAAAATATTGCATGTAATTATTCAAAGATTGTTAACTCGTTCAGTGCCGGCCATTTTAAGAATGTTCTTTTTCACTAGAATGAATCAAAAACTCGGATCAGCGGATTAGAAAATGAATGGATGGTTGAATAAAAACTGCACATTTCCAAAGTAGCAGAGGAATGTAACTTACCAATGAGCACCAAAGTTTTCCGTTTGAAAGCAGGGAGCCGGACAACCTCCTCGTAAGAAATCACATCCAACTGGTCAAAAACTGAAATAACGTTTGGTTGTGAGCAAACAACACAATGGTGGGGGAAAAAAAAAAAAAAAAACATGCTCCCAGTGATAAACTCACTTGAGCTGTGCTTAGCCAGGTACTTGTCTTTGCACTTCTTTTTCTTTCCGAATGGGCTCCAGGACTGACTGTCTTTGGCTTTGCTTTTACTTGCCACTCTCCTGTCGGGGGAAACAAAGTTTTGTGCAACTTGCTGAAACGAGGGTAAACACAATTGTGTCAAGCCTGAGACGGTCCCAAAACACGTTCACTGTGTGAAATACCAATACTGTGCACGCACAAACATGTTTCAAATCAATGCAAAAATGAATACACGCCAATAGAAGCTTCAACCTATTTTCTGATGGTTCTAATTCACAAGAATCCAACCACAGCTCAGCTGAATGTTATCATCATCCAATTGTGAAGAATTTTCTTGTGTTCACCAAGATAGGAAGCTTTTCAAATGAGGAGTACTCATTCTTGCAAAGCATTGATGTGCCATTCATTTGAGCACTTCCCGAGCATCACAGACTGTCCCGGTGTTGTTCATAGGCCCATAAAGGACCAAATTTTCATGGTATAACATTTACATAATGGCGTTTTTTTTTAATCTGGGGGTTGCTATGAAGATTAGAAACAGTGGCCTTGCAAAAGTATTCCACCCTCTTGAGCTTTTTGTGGCAAAAAGTCAAAAAGAAAAAGTGGGACGAACACGTTGGCAAGCCACTGTGTGCGCGTGTGTATATATAAGAAGCTTAATGTTCATCATCTAAAAATTATGAAATTAAAATGAAATGATATATTTGTCCAACCATTCCTGGAGCTCCGGCGACGGTATTAGTCCAGCGAAGTTGGCAGCACTGCTCTCTACTGTACCCTGCCACCAGTTGGGATCCTGCTTGTTGATGATTTGGATGATGTCACCAGTTTGAAAACGTAGCCCGGCCTCTTTGCACGGGATGAGTTCATCGGTGGAGGGGTCGTAGTTAAATTGGGCCCTCATGTACGTCTGTAAATCGAGAGGATAACACCGTGAGTTTGGAAGTGTAGATGAGTACAATTTCATTTTGTGCGTTGCCAGCGTGTAACAAAATAATTATATATGCTTTTATGGTAGAGTGGATACAGACTTTCAGTGTTAACAAAAATAAACAGATATACTACTTGCATAAAATAATATACAGGATGAAAAATACTGTACTTATACATCTATCCAATGCAAGAGTACATTGTTGCTTTTACAAAAATTACAACAAAACATTTAGTGTTGATTACCACGGCCAAAGGGATTAAGAAACTCTTCCCAAAGAGTCGCAGTGAGCCGGATCAAATTTGATACAAAAACATGAATTCGGTTTTACATTCTACATTCCCGTTGAAAATTATGAACCATCAAAATCTCACTGAAATTGACAGCTGATCTAATACAATGTATTAATCACTACTATGAATGGGATATTTGAAGGATACTTTGTAGTAATGCGTCCATTGGATTAAACGCATGAGGAAATATGATATTATTAACAGTACTTAGAGAGCCGAAAGAAACACACTAAACTACGATTGTCTTTTACATTCAAACTAACAAAGCCAGTGTCCTCTACTTAAATAGTCACCTTGGATTTTCATCGATTAAGAGAAGATTCACCTAGCGGGCAAAATGTACAGAAAATAATATAGGAAAAGATAGCAAAGAATGAAGAATGAATCTGTGAAGATATTACCCACGCTACTGTTTTGAGGCAAGTTTTCGATGTTTCTATATTACCTCACAAGCTTTGGAGCGACTTTTTTGGTTGGAAACAATCTTCATTGTGACTATTCCGTTTGTTTCTTTCTGCAGGAAAAAAAAGGATGGCACAGTTTAATTGTTGTGTTTTTTTGCGTGTTTCTCTTAACAACTGTGGTGATTAATTGAGTGTTAACACACCAAAATCTTTTGCAGCTGATCGACTGTTTGGTTGGTCACACTTTTCCCATTGATTTCTGCTATCTCATCCCCTTCGTGCAGGGATCCTGGAAAAAAAGGGAAGAAATGAAATGTATTAACAGCATCACAGCTTGAGGAAAACACAACCATATATCAAAATGTCATGACAGCTCTCTCAGCAAGGGTTTTAACCAAACCCCACTGTCAGGTCAATTTTGATTTACTACCTTGTCTGTGTATAAATCCTCCGTGCAAGATTCTTGCCACTGTGCACCTTTGCTTGTCATTCATTTTCAGAGTGACTCCCTGTAGAGAAAAGATGATGTTGACGGACAAATGAGGGAGAATCAAGCAACATTAATCCACATGGTGAAGAAAAAAGAAAAAAAGTGGAGATGTGTTGCAAATATAAGATGTACCATTGGCTCCGAGGGATTTTTTTCAAACATGACTTCTTTCATTTTGGTCAGCTCAGTGCCATTCGCATATTTGGCACTTCCATTGGTATAAACCTCCGCACCTTTATTCTCAAAGGTTTGCATGGCTACCTGCAAAAAAAAAAAAAAAAGGAGAGAGAGAGAAAAAAATTCATTATACTGCAAAAATTGAGAGCATCTTGCATCAGGAATTTTTTCTAAAAGTTACAGGGAAAGACTTTTGCTATTTGCTCATGTTTCATTCGCAGTTTCAACACATGTTATCGGTTGAAAATTAACCCAACATTATAACACCTCATTTAACACATCCAATGATCTGGTCCGACAGGTTCGTGTGGTCATGGATACCACCGGTGTCATCAAGGGATCCCGTCAGACAACAGCAGTAAATCGAGAGTACTGTCTTGGAAGACAATTACAAATAAGTCATTTTTAAGGCTTCCATTCAATATGGGGTGCAAAGATGAGGCCAGACTTGCATTCATGACCTGCACTTGACAACTAAATGAACTGAAACCAACATGATTGAAAACTGAAACCCTTGTTTTGCCCCCGCCCCACTCCCTCCAAAGGGCAAACAGAGAGGCCTCTAATCAAAGCTCCACTGCCGTGTATGTTAATAGACAACGGAGACGATATGAAAATCTATTCATTAATCCCAAAGAGAGTAGGAACTAGATACAGTAGTTACATAAAAATTGAAATGCATTCTATCTTTTGATGTTGGCTAAGACATAGTGACAATACTAAATCCCAGATGCTATGAAAGTATGCTCCCTAGCGGTGCTAAGCACAACAGGGGATGACATAAGAGCTATCGGGTTGGACATTTCAGGCAAGGTCATAAAATATCCATCCGTTTTCCTCACGTGCGCGGCAGGCGTGCTGGAGTCTGTCCTGGCGGTTTACCAGCCACTAACAGGGAGGTATTATTGAGGTTTCCTAAGATAGACAGAAAATATAATTTATAATAAATAAACTACGACAGCCAAACTCCATACTTGGGATCTTATTAGCATGTTCCTTTCTTGTCTAAAACCTGCAGTCAACAGTTGACTGAGTGGATGCCTAGTTCCATGCAACGTGATATTTAATTCCCGGCCTTGTGCTATTTGAGTTTAACAGACGGGTGACAGAGGAAAATATTTGCAGTTACATCAGGAGATTGAATGACACTGTGTGAAATCACAAACGTCATACTATACTGGTCCTCAATTGTGTGTGTGGTGCGAATAAGCAAGACCATGTTGAAACCACAAAAACTTGGGAATGTTCTGCAAATTTCATCAATAGATGATAGTGCCCCTCACAATCCACACATATGTGATAATGGACAATGAGTGGAGTGAGAGGCCTTTCTAAATGCCCGTGTTGGGTGTGGCACAGCTATAGGACAAACAACTAGCCTTCAGGAAAGGGAGCCCTTTGGTGTCCGCTAAGTTGGTCAAAGGCAAGTGCTTCCTGGCCCACTATCTATACCTAATTTACATAAAAGACTTCATCAAGCATGTTTCTGAATATATAAGAACACGCTCTCAACCTAGTTTAACATAAAAAAGAGCTTTACATTTAGGATGATTAATTTTTTTTTTCCTTCAGATTTTTAGGAGTTGACAATCAACAATTGGCCAAAAATGCCGCTGGACCTTAACATAATAAAGTAATAGCTCTATTGGGTTAAACCCTTCCCCTTAATTACCCATAAGAAGGGGCACTTTTGGTGTTCCTGTGATAAACAGCAGCCCTAAAAAGCATGTTCCAAATAAGCTACCTAAATGCTGACGTTACTATATTTGCCAGTCTTAGCATATTGCTTAGTTGACTTTTGTTGTTGTTCCCGTTCCCTAACGATCCTAATGCGACCTTTGACCAACATTATGCTCAGCAGTCTCCAGTGTGACGACCTCACTTACTAAATCAGCATTATACAGAAGACAAAAGTGCTGAGGTAAGAAAAAAAAAGTTTCCTTCCTTTGTCACGTTCCTTTGTAACTCACCGCTGAGTTGGCAATTCCAATCTATTTTAACAGATCTTTTAACTAGCTATTAACATGATTTCCCGGTATGACAAGACTTTCCACCATAATATGCTTTAAAAACCAAGTTGTGTATGTCTTGGACAGACTGCTACCATATGATGCAGTCCACAACCACTCACTATAGCCTCAAGAGATCCTACTCTGAGTGGAAAACACTGCAATGCTGTATTCTGAAGTTCACTGAACAAACAACCAAAAGATGATGACGTTATCACAAAAATAAACGTAGATTATTCATGACAGAAACTTGTTTACCCCTCAGCTGTTACAAGATTTCCATGTGTATTTTTGGAAAGCGAGTGCAGAAGTGGGAAAGCTTTGGCCATGTCTGCTGGATCCAGTTCAGGCTGAGTGGGCAACACAGTTGAGGTGACTCAGCTTTCAACAAAATACATTCTATCATTATCCCCTTTTGGGGCCAAGGTGTTCAATTGTGCGGCAAAAAGGAATATTCCTACGAAATATCTGAAAGCCAAACGTTTCCCTCTCCACTTCCCCCCCAAGACAAAACAACAGTCATGTGCTGGACCACATTCCCGGAAGCAAACAGAAAAATCCGAGTATTTAAAGATGAAATGCAAAAGCGACAACTTACCTTGTCAGTCGTTGGTTTGTTTTGCAGAAGCTGCTCTAGGTAGAGATCGGAGAGGGCTGTCCGGACGGAGTCCACGGGCTCCAATATGACAGTAGGTTCGTTTTTATTGGATTTTAGCGTCATCTTTCAGAAAGAAAGGAGAGGGGGAAAAAAATCAGTGAACCCGATTTGCCGCCCTGTGCAAGGTCCGCGAGAGGCTGGCTCGAAAAAAAAATGCTGCGAGATAGGAAACGGCTGATAACGAAAGCTGATGATATAAATGTCACTCTGATCAATGTCCAAGGTTCTGATCGGTCGCGGGCAATCTACACGAGAGCCACTGCGGGGACACAGCTGACAGAGCAAGTAAACAGGGGCAGGCTCGTGCTGCCTTCACGTGCTCACCGCAAGATCCCAAATTTGAGTGTTCACTCTTACTCTATGTGAAATAGATTTTTTTTTTAAATGTGTTCACTCTTACTCCATGTGAAATAGATTATTTTTTAATGAAGTTAAATGGGACGCTACACAGTGTTTTTTTCCCCTGTGGTAGTGTGTTGTAATGGTTCATATTAAGGCGGTGCGTTTTGTGTTTGCATTTGTACACATGCTTGTATTTGTCATTTTCTAGAACAGGGATTAGCAACTATGCTAAAATGGGGCGTGGGGGGTCAGCAGTGGTACTTGGGGACGACATAGCACCATGCACTTCCTAACTAGATATATGACAAAAATGCCATTTTAATGCAGATATTGTGGTGCATAAGTGCAAAAGACATGCCCTTAATATATTTCATTTTCATAGTCGGCCTACTTTTCTCGATGCATAGTGGGTGTCAGCAGTGGTACTTGGGGACGACATAGCACCATGCACTTCCTAACTAGATATATGACAAAAATGCCAATTTAATGCAGATATTGTGGCGCATAAGTGCAAAAGACATGCCCTTAATATATTTCATTTTCATAGTCGGCCTACTTTTCTCGATGCATATAAAAAAGATCGACGATCCGAAAATAAAATCTGACATCCGAAAAAAATACTTGTATAATGTTCCAAGAGCACAATAATCTTCGCATTTAGAATTACATTAAAAAAGTAACTGGAATTAAAAATAAGTTAAAATGAAGTACTCCAAAATCACAAGAGAGCCACAGGAGAAGGATGAAAGAGACACGTCTCGAAACCCAAGTGAAGATTTCTCGATGCATATAAAAAAGATCAACGATCCGAAAATAAAATCTGACATCCAAAAAAAAATACTTGTATAATGTTCCAAGAGCACAATAATCTTCGCATTTAGAATTACATAAAAAAGTAACTGGAATTAAAAATAAATTAAAATTAAGTACTCCAATATCACAAGAGAGCCACAGGAGGATGAAAGAGACACGTCTCGAAACCCAAGTGAAGATGCACCACCCCCTCGATGCTTTTTGTTTTAGTTTGCACTTTGTTGTTTGTACTACACGATTAATACAAGTGATGTGTGAAATGTACTGCTGTGATTAATTTCATCTAGTGAGAGGTATCGCTCAATGACTTATAAATACCTCAATTTGTTTGTTGTTCGAACAGCAGATCGTTCTATATGACGCAGTGCAAGACTCCACAACCATTAACACACGTGCATTACATTTCAAAAGATTGGAACGAGGTACCTAATGAAATGTCCAGTGACGGTGGTTCTCATCGTCCGTCTTCGCGACTATAACAGCTCAAATATCCGACTGACATTGAAGGTAGCACGCCGCTGCCGTCCACCCGAGCCCACGCTAATGATCACCTTCAACATTCTCACAATCAAACAGGCCACATTGCAACATTTTACAGTTGTCTGGGTGCTACTTCAAAGACAGGGATAAACAGTTTGAAATCAGACAATATTGCAGAATGGCATTCTGAGAATGTATCCAAACACGAATGGGTTTGATCCCAAATGACCACGAAAGAATGCCCTCCAGTGTAAAGCGAAAAAAAGTTTTTTTATTTGGATTAACTGCACCAAAGGCTGAATTGACAGAACGTGCGAAATTTGACGTTTGACCAGGAAGGATTTATCATCCTATTGTAATGCCCTTCAATAGCGGAGAGAAGGATGCACGCAGTCGCAGATACAATTTGTCGGTATTTAATAAACAAATAAGGCAGTAAACACACGCATTCAAAGGAGTTGCTGTTAGCCACAACTCACGCCCATGCGCTCTACACTCAGACTGACTACCGGAGCCAATATTCCCCCAACCTGGCTCCTCCCCTTCCTATGACGTCACACCAATACAAGAAACAGATATTACACTATGTTGAATTGCACTGTATGTACTGTACGTGTCTTTTAACTTTAAATGTCCATATCGCGTTCGGCGTTTTTTCCCCTCGGAATTTCAAACTCTAATACAAGACCTTTTTTTTCTGTGTAAACTGGCGCTGTTTAGTAAAAAAATAAAATAAAATAAAATCCTGACTATTTGAGGACGTAATCGGAAAATTAGTAAAACACAATGGCCAGTTTTACGGTTTCTGACTCAGTACATATTGGCAGCAGCGCTCTGGGTACTGTTACAAAACAGCGACATCTTCTGGTCAATACTACTACTACTAATCCAAAAAACTATACGACAACAACTACAGTTCTGTACTACTCCGACTAGCCTATTACTGAAACAACTATTGATACTTAAACAGAACCAACCACAACGTGGTCGATATACTAATATCTCAGTTTGGCATGCAACATTACCAAACAAAAAAAAAATCTAATTCTTATATGTGATTTAAAAAAAAGCAGTTCCTTATGGAAATTGGGCCTGTGTCTTTAAGAATATGTCCCAAACTGCCTTTTAGGCCGAAGTACGCCTGCAGGTATTACTGTACTGTATCGGCGAATTCGCTCAGTATGCGCACTCCACTATGCATCAGTACCACGTTATCGATTCGAATCGCATGTAAATTCTAACGCGTTTCATATCTAATCCAGGCCACGCTTCACGGCCGGGTCCACCTGAAACGGGAAACTCGCTTTGATGAAAGGAAGCAAAGCGCAAGACAGGAGACAGCTGTGCTGTTAATGAACACTTTCGCGAGTCAGTGCCGGGGTGAGTCCGCAGTGCCTCAACAGTTGCATCAAAATTTCTGAAACTTAGTGGTTTTATTGTGAGAGAGGTGCTGCTGTGCTGTGAGGCATTAGACATGATCGGGATGCTGAGCAGGAGCATACGAGCCGGCGCCACGCACACACAGCGTCTCTGCGCTCTAAACTGGACGACATTGAGAAACAAAAAGCTCGTCCGTGGATACGTTGTCCCACCGGCAACTCTGCACTTACTTGAAGACTGTCTGGGTGAGTTCTGGAATATTCGTCGAAAAGACAAAAGCTGCAGTTAACGCTCCTCCTCTTCATGCATGTACCAGAACTCCACTACAGAGGAAGTCGGATGCATTTGGACTACGTCTGGTTGAGGGATCACTGCCGCTCTGACTCGTCGTTCAACTTCAAAACAAACCAGAGAAATTTGGACACCGGAAGTATTGACCTCAACATTCGCCCCGATCACACCAAATTGGAAGATGACCACCTCATCATCACTTGTAAATCTATTCTGGTTACTGACAACCATCTATACACTCATATATACAGTGATCCCTCGCTACTTCGCGATTCATTTATTGCGGAGTCAGTGCTTCGCAGATTTTAAAAAAAAAAAGCGAAAATGCCGAAAAAGGTCCGCGAGAGGCATTGAAAGTCAGCAAAACAACAGTGAGTCACATAGAGCAACATATACAGTACTACATGTATATTTCATGTTTGTTTACTGTATTTTGTTATTTATACACTAACCTAACCTAACTTATACATTATATATATGCTATAGTATATAGCATTAAGAAATGTCAATTAATGCAAACATTTACTTCTACATGCATGCATAGCATTACAATTGGCCTTATAAATATTATATATACACATACACATGAGCTGTACATCCATCAGGGGGTTACCTACTTCGTGGATTTTACTCTTTCGCGTCATATATATATATATATATATATATATATGTCAGAGAGATAAAACATTATCATTTGTAACTCTTCATTGCAATAATTAACTCTGTCAAAGGCAAGCCCACGATAGCCTCCCTTTTTTCTTCCTTGAATTGCCACCATGAGAGCAGTATGAGCCACAAACTCCATCTTGAGAGTTAACCTCACCGTTTAAAAGTTAGCGGTGGTCCTTAAGTGTGTTAATTTTTAATGTCAAGTTAACAGCTGTTTAAAGTTAAACGAGTTTTGAGCAACATGATATTTGTGTGGTTAAAGTTAACACTTGGTTAAATTTACTTAAACAGTGGGTAAATAAGAACCAAATTTTGAACAAACAGGCATAGTGTCCTGGAAAACTTCTGTTGTGATGCATCAATTTGCATCATTTGCAGCTGTTTTTATTTTGTTTTGCTACTTATGTTTTTCCTTCTTTTCGTTTTTCATTTATGTGTTAGATATTTTTGTTTGCAGCATTTGGCCTATGGCAGCATTTCTTACTTGCAGCGTTTTTGTTTTGCAGTTGTCGTTTAGATTTTTAGATTGTTTGTCTTTGCCGTTTGCAGCGCAGTGCCCCTGTCAACCCCCCCCCCCCACATGGTTGTGTCAATCATCCACAACTATCACCTCTTCTTACAACATGAAAATGAACATCAGCCTGTTGCAAGGATAACTGCAGTTTCGACAAGCTGAAAACCCGTTTCCCTTCTTGCATGGCCAGTATGGTAGCATATTCACCTCACTTGGCAGTTCAACCATTGATCATGCTTGCCAATGGCATGTTCCATCACCTGTCAATGCTGATAACTGCATTGCACTGAAGAGGAGTGGGCCACCATTCTTCAAGTTGCAATCAACAACCTGTTTAAATCTATATTGAGTGCAAAGTCAGCTGCACATTTTTAGAGGAGACTTTTATTGCATTGCATTCTTCTGCAGCGTTGTGCCTATGACAGCCGTTCGGCGTCGAGAACGTACTTAATACGTCACACGCATTCGCATGCAGCACAATCAGTTTATCTATTCCGGTAATTAACCACACTTTGTACTCTTGACTTTGATTTAATAACACTTAAAACAAAGCATGTGTAAAGCATGTGTGTCAACCAAAGTTGTCTTTAAAAGCGCAACGTCATTCTGATCGTTTTCTGAGCCACACCCTTTGACTCGCTTCCAAATAATCATAAAAACTGAAGTGCCACAAAGATACTTTCTGATTCATATCTGCTGATATGTCCTCTGCTTTAAATATGAGGTCGCTAAACCACGTTTGCTTTTCTGCACCCTAGGGCCCGGTGGTCATACATCTAATTACAGCCTTTGCTGGCTAGCTGAGAACAGTTACGAGGGGAAGAAGCAGAGCACCATACAGCCGCGCATTCTTTGGAACGCAGACATCTATAATAACTCCCACGTTGCCTCCTCCAAATGGGACACATTCATGAGCAGCGATGATGAACTAAAGATGTTTCTGCAGAACTATCTTCTCTATGGGATCGCTTTCGTAGACGATGTCCCTGCTACAGTTGAAGCCACGGAGGCCGTGACTCAGAGGGTTAGTTTAATCAGGTATAACATGCTTTAAAATGTTTTTTTTCCCTACTTTACTACGTGTTTCCTTCCTGATATCAGTGGCCACATCGCTAAGGAATTTAGCATGTATCCAGACTTGTCCGCTCATTCCCATATGCATCTGTTGCCTTACTGATCCTCTAGGGAGACGACATATGGAAGAATGTGGTGCTTCACTTCTGATTTCTCCAGAGGAGACACTGCCTACAGCCAGCTGGGTCTTGACCGCCACACTGACACAACTTACTTTCATGAACCATGTGGGTAAGTGGGAGAGGGAATCTTTCTTTAAAGGCACAGTAACATTGCCAATGTGTGCTGCTTGTTACACCTTTTTTTTTCTGTGCCCCCCCAACCCCCCTACAGAATTCAGGTTTTTCACTGTCTAAAGCATGAGGGTACCGGAGGAAGGAATCTGCTTGTTGATGGTTTCTATGCAGCTGAAACCGTTCGTCTGCAATCACCAGAACATTTTGACCTGCTTTCGCATGTTCCAATCAGACACGAATTTGTCGAAAGCGATGACGGCCACCATAACCACATGATAGGCATTGGCCCCATTCTCAATACCTATCCTTGGAATAATGAAGTTTACTTGATTCGGTATGTTGATGATATTATTTTCAATTTTTTGTGCCGAATCTGTCACTAAAGATAACAGTCATATATACTGGCTATGTATTCAGAAACTCGTTTTACGTGACGTGTTTTGATCACTATGATCAGGTCACGGATCACTTCAAAAAAAACTACTCTTGGATACCGCTGCTATTTGATCTGTAAAAAGTTGCTTTTCTTTGTAGATACAACAACTATGACCGATCCGTAATAAACACGATACCTCACAACGTTGTTCGCCGCTGGTATGTTGCTCATCGACAGTTGACCATGGAACTCAGGCGACCAGAGAATGAGCTGTGGATCAAACTCACTCCAGGAAAAGTAAGACCATTGCCCATTTTTCACCAGTAAATGCCCTGTAACAATAGCAATCAGAATGTTAGACGCAGATGCGATTGCAATGCAAAATTGACTTTCCCCTCCGTTTCACTTTAGGTGATTTTTATTGACAACTGGAGGGTCATGCATGGCAGGGAGGCTTTCACCGGCGTAAGGCAACTCTGTGGATGCTATCTGAGCAGAGATGACGTTCTAAGCAAGGCACGGGGTTTCGGGCTTCAGGCATGAAGCCAGTCTAAGAGAGCCCCTTAAGCACTTTTCATCTCGTGAAGTAGGTTTAAAGCTTCCAGGCATTAATTGATCTGTTAAATAAAATCATTAATTACACTGCTTCGTAATTTATATCGATGAATTAAGTAGACAGTTGCGACATGAAACCTACACAGGCCAGTGTGGGCTAATCCTCCATGACAATCACGTTAATAATTTCTATTTCGTTAAAACAGATTTTTTGATACTTACATATACATACACACGAATATAATTGAGTGTCCTTTGTGTGTGTGAAGTGTTGACAGCAAACAGTTTCAATTGGGGACATTTGCATGCAGAAGACAGCACACGGCACAAAGATGCAGTCACAGCGCTACTCTTATTTCCATCAGTGGCTTTGAAGAGACTGCTGTAATCGTAACCATAGAAACAGCTGAGCATACTGAGGCCTGCTTTGTTGTCCTGGTAATTCAGTGAATGAGAGCAGTCTATCATCAGGCCGTGCAAGGTGGCCATTTCGATCAAGAAGTGCATGTGATGATGTCGCCTTTAGGGGAAAATGTATTTGAAGGAATTCAGAATTCAGATTTCACACACAATAATTGAAACTACTGTGTGGTGATTAAAAAAAAGTGGTTAAGGGCAATTGACTGCAAATGTAAATATTCAAATCGGATTTCAAACAGACTGAGCAATGCGTTACCTATTGCTTCAGAACAAAAACGGTAGTTAAAATATAACAAAAGAGTGAGGAAATAAAAGAGAGTGGGAGCAGCTGCAACAGCAATGTCCGGAATTGTCTCACCTGATGTGAGATGCATCTTATGTGATTGTTTTTTTTGGTTTGTTTGTTTTGGCACAATTGTTTTTGTATTGATATTCAATAATAAACGCAAAAAAAAATCATTCAAATATAATTTTCAGTGTGTGGTGCTTTTGTTAAACGGTTGTTGTTGATTATTATTCGAAATGTTTCACTTAATATCACACCCATCGCTCACCCAATGTCAACAGGTGGTCGAAACCTCTCTTTGGGTCATTATTTTGTGAGACTACTGTAAATGATTAAACCAATGTGGTGGTGGTGGTTTCTATGAATAATACCAAACGGCTATTACCAAATAAATGAATTCTGTACAGGCACATTTCATTTAAACACATTAAAACCTGCATCAACCACCGAATATTTCATTTGGCTACCGACTATCCACTGAAATATAAATTTGGGGACATTTTTCAAGACCCAAAGAGAGTGACGGCGAGTAAGGTCTTTTAAAAGTAAACACAGCATTTTAAACATGTAGATGTTATGTAGCAGGTGAAGGTGACAGCATTGTGAAATTGATTACCTGTAGATGTCATTTATTTGACGCTACTTCGCCAGAAGTTTAGCCACAGCTCATAACTCTGCCTTGCTTGCCTTGTATATCAGTCTGGGTCATGGCTGGTGGATCAGGAATGAATGTAATTTAATCTCCACCTGGCCTTTATTGGTTGCCTCAAGCTTCTGAAAGTTAAAGCACTGCATCATGCCGCTTATTGCCGGGGGAGGGAATCACTCCCCTGTGATGCATACTTAATAAAGTAAGTTTCAGCTTCATCATTTTCACGCAGGACACATAGAAGCCAGCTGATGGAGTGAGGGAGGGGGTAAATCACACAAGATTAATTGTCTATCGTTAGCAGAAGGTGACAAAGGTGATTAACGGTGTGAAAAGTGTTGAACAGAGGTGAGTGGAGACTGGACAAGTAGAGGGAGGCTTGTCTTGCTTGTACTACTCATGCATGATAGGTGAGCAAGTTTGAGCATGGCCTCGGTTCATCCGAGGCATGCACTGGTATGTGGTATGGTCAAGTTTGTATGTTTGAGCAGAACTAAACTGTGCAATGGAGGAGACAGTCTAATTAAATCAATAGTACGACTCGCTGGTAAGTGATCACGAATCAGTGACCACCACTGATAAACCATCACACTGCGCCATGTGCGCTGGGAAAATATAAACGAACCGTTTGACCATTTTCAATAAATTGTTTCTAAGTAAGTTGTTTTTTTTTTTGGAGGGTGGGGGTGAAAAATGAGTGATTATCCTCAATCCAGCATGTATGGAGCACTGAGGGCAGAGTGGGTAGGACCACTCTTACCCCTACATCTCGGACCTGGTTTCTACTTCAGAGCATATATATTTTCAAAAGCAATGCTCTGACAACACTAGGCATTATAATTCCATGAAAAGCAGGATTTGTGTTTATACAACTTATGTATGGGATTTTATTAAATGGTTTGGTTGTATGTAATTTTGCATTTGGTGACAGTGTCTAATTTTAACTATTGCATTTGCACTGACTTAAAAAAAAAGAATCGGCATTACCATGGCACCCTCGATCATCTACTTAGCCTATAAAATTCTTGAAGGTCTAGAGTACAACCTTCCACGGTTATATGCTATTGTGAGTTTGACCAATTTTACAACCAAGGAAAGTGGTAAAATTTAATGGAGAGCCTGGCGGTAAATTGAAAGTGGTTGTGTAACACACAATATAAAGTACATCGTTGAACTTGTGGTATGACAGAGCAAACGTGTCTGACATTGGAATCATGACGTTATCCTACTAACCAATGTAGTGCATCGGGTGGCTTTATAATAATGAACACAAGCATGAGTGGTTTCCCAGCCTGCCTTACTGGAGAGCCGATGATAAACTGGGCCAGCAGCATGTGCTGAACTTTCTGGACTCATGCATGATAGGTGAGCAAGTTTGAGCATGGCCTCGGTTCATCCGAGGCATGCACTGGTATGTGGTATGGTCAAGTTTGTATGTTTGAGCAGAACTAAACTGTGCAATGGAGGAGACAGTCTAATTAAATCAATAGTACGACTCGCTGGTAAGTGATCACGAATCAGTGACCACCACTGATAAACCATCACACTGCGCCATGTGCGCTGGGAAAATATAAACGAACCGTTTGACCATTTTCAATAAATTGTTTCTAAGTAAGTTGTTTTTTTTTTGGAGGGTGGGGGTGAAAAATGAGTGATTATCCTCAATCCAGCATGTATGGAGCACTGAGGGCAGAGTGGGTAGGACCACTCTTACCCCTACATCTCGGACCTGGTTTCTACTTCAGAGCATATATATTTTCAAAAGCAATGCTCTGACAACACTAGGCATTATAATTCCATGAAAAGCAGGATTTGTGTTTATACAACTTATGTATGGGATTTTATTAAATGGTTTGGTTGTATGTAATTTTGCATTTGGTGACAGTGTCTAATTTTAACTATTGCATTTGCACTGACTTAAAAAAAAAGAATCGGCATTACCATGGCACCCTCGATCATCTACTTAGCCTATAAAATTCTTGAAGGTCTAGAGTACAACCTTCCACGGTTATATGCTATTGTGAGTTTGACCAATTTTACAACCAAGGAAAGTGGTAAAATTTAATGGAGAGCCTGGCGGTAAATTGAAAGTGGTTGTGTAACACACAATATAAAGTACATCGTTGAACTTGTGGTATGACAGAGCAAACGTGTCTGACATTGGAATCATGACGTTATCCTACTAACCAATGTAGTGCATCGGGTGGCTTTATAATAATGAACACAAGCATGAGTGGTTTCCCAGCCTGCCTTACTGGAGAGCCGATGATAAACTGGGCCAGCAGCATGTGCTGAACTTTCTGGTGTAGTGAACTTTGAGAGCTGGTGGGTCTCCTCCTGCTCAAACCTGAGTGCTGCTTTCAGTGTAATTCCTCCACACAGACTCATTCATCCACCCACCACAGATACTGTACGTTGTTTCCCCACTCAGCAGACTGTGAGGAGTGAATCAGCACTTTGGTCAGCACTGCAGGACCGACTCCAAATGTAAATGTAGTTTTTTTCCCCCTAATTTACACAATTTTATAACGAATATTAATAATACATCCTCTTTGCCAAGTAATTGCTGATTTCTCCATTCGAGGCAGACACTGTGCTGTAAAAATAGATTTTGAAGGACCAAAAGCATGCAGGTCACAAGATAGCCAGCAGGTGGCAGAAGAGGCTTTTAGAGTTCGAAAAGTGCGCGTGCAACTGCGCGCGCCAGTGACAGACAGAAGGCGATGCTCATCTTAGCTGAACAAATGCTGATTCCCCTGAACCCCCAAACACCGATCGCCCACCTAACAATATTTCTACAGCTTCTAAAAGAATACATTCAGCTTTCACAAATCCTGATGCTCAATGCGCAAATCACAATGGCACATACAGTGGCGTGAAGCATCATCCGACTCGCAAACAACAAGGTGCTGCAAGCAAATGCAGTGACGCTGAACTATCGTCTTCCATCGGCGTCAAAACGTAAGCAAGCAGTGCTTCTTCCTTAACGATTGACGCGACCGTGCAAGTAAATCTGATGAAAAACTGGAGCAGTGACAGTCAGGTGCAAGATCTCCCGATTCTTTTGTCATGTGAGAAATTCACTTCACTGTTGCTATAGGCGACAGAGCATGAATTGTATATGGAGAAGAGCGGGGGAACAGTGGACTTTCTTTTGTGTTGCATCACTATTGTATTCGTAACTTTCCTTTCTAATGGCTTGCAGTTAAAAAAGCATAAAGGAATGATCATTGTTCCTCAAGGGCACATGTTGAACATTTCCAAGTGATTGTTTTGCCTTACATCTGTGTTCGCAATATTGTTGTATGCAATGCAATGCTTTTAATAAACTTTTCAGCACACCAAAATGACAATTACTACTACGACAAATAACACTAACCTTTCTTTTTCCTTGTATTTCATGGCAGCATGAATCCCCTGGGGCAGGGGTGTCAAACTCAGGTCCTGGAGGGCCGCTGTCCTGCATGTTTTCCAAGTCTCCCTGTTGCAACACACCTGATTCAAATGATCAGATCATCAGCAAGCTCTGCGGAAGCCTGGAATTGAACCTGTTCATTTGAATCAGGTGTGTTGCAACAGGGAGACTTGGAAAACATGCAGGACAGCGGCCCTCCAGGACCTGAGTTTGACACCTATGCCCTGGGGCATTATACTGCCCCTTATAGGTCAGTCATAGTACTACGACAGATGTGGTTGGGGCAAGGCTTTCTTGTGGTGTGCTGTGTTGGTCATTTCGAGAATGCCACAAATTTTAAGATCAATTCCACACTTGATGATTATGTACTCATTGTTTGGGGTGTCTCAAATTTTAAAAATCAGTTAAAGTTTTGAAAATTACTGTGTGGGCACTACACTTTCACTGAAAAATTTTACACGGTTAAAGAGAGTATTTTTTTGGAAACGGTATGCTTGACATTTAATGAAAAGTCGAAGCAGAGAGAATGAGAACTCACTGTTCCCGGGTACCTTCTTTAGTGTCCCCCTTGGGACAATGACACTTTCCCAGCCCAGCTGTGTGACATCGGCCTTAGACTGTCCTAGGTCTGCCCTGAAGCCTTTTCCTGGAGAGATATGCTCAGAACACCTCACCAGGGTGGCTGTCGTAGCAGATGTCTGAGCCACCTCAACACACTTCAGCCACTTGTATCTGTGACCTTACACTTTTCGTCACTGCCTTTTGAGCAACTCGTATATTGCGAGATATGCTTTTTGGCTCTGCCACATTTGACCGAGATAGTTCAACACAGCGCACATGTTGGAGTGGGTTTTCGTTGGTCCCTGGAATCGTCACTAACCGGGTCAATACCGACTGGCCTTGTCAGTATGTCACCGACGGACTCCCAACTGACGGAAATACACTTGCATG